TCCATCCTATAAAGTACCACAGCATCAGCAGAAAGACGCATGTACAACCTTTGCAAAAACCCCATCAACAGTGCTGTAAGTGGTTCTGGTTGACCAGTAGGTGGCACTCTTTTCTTCTGGATCAGATTTCCTGAACCACTGCCGCAGTGTGGTGACTGGGGAAACTGGGCTTTGGGCAAGTACTTGTACCATATTTCGGATGAGATGTTCAAATAACTAACTGGCCTCCCGAAAATCGCCTCCTCGATTCAGCTGGTTAAGCAGTTTCTCACTTCACGACCTGATCTGCGGTGGAGCTGCAGGTGCAGAGTGGGTGCCTGGATACCACCGAGCACAGGCTGCATGGAGTGGGTCCCCTGTTATTAGTCAAGCACTTTGGCATCCTTTGGGTTGAAAAGGGCTGGACAACTTATACTTTCCAACTGAGCAGACTGCACTAGCGATTGGAGCTAAATGTAGACATCGGGTAGTAAAATCATTTCTTCTAGATCACACATCAGGATCACAACTGCTGCATCTGCAGTTGCTGGTTGTATCACAAAAATACCAAAATAATTCTTAACTGTTTTTTGGAAGGCATGATACCATATGTGATTAACTGGACTTATCCTCTTCTGGAAAATACACCCACTGGTTATTCCGTGAATTTGTGGTTTTATCTATGTTCTGTTCTCTGGGAGACTTTCTTTTTTTTATTATTCTTTGAAAAACCATTGCATTTCCCGGCATTGTAGAGCTGGAGAGACGCTCAAAGGGCTGTCAGTGGGGCCCTCCTAATCCCTCTAATGAGAAAGACCTTTAACTACTCACTCACGCCTGGTGTACCAGGAGCCCTGGGGTGTCCTCTCACTCAGGGATAAATGTAGCCTCCCACAGACTGCCCGACTGCTGCACAGGCTCACAGTGCACTGCCACATGACTAGGAAGAGGGACCCAAATACAGATTTGTGTATATAGTATCCAAATGTAGCAGCGATGTGTTTGGATTTCCGGAAGATCTAGAAAGTTTTATCTGTGCGCAGTTAAATCTATTTCTTTGTGCTGTCCTCTTGTAAAAGTGTGCTGTAGTGCATTGGTGTGGTCGTTTCGGTTTTACCATGATTTCACTGTTCTTTGGCATGGCTGTCACCAGTTTGTATCATCCCTTAACATACATTTCTATTCTTTACCACAATTTCACTGTACATTGCTACAATTTAATGTACTTTTAGCTTGGTAAAATGCAGAATATCTTCACAAAGGTAGGGAAAGTAATTGGTTTAGTGTTGATTTTGTGATTCTCTTAATGTTTACCAGGATCTAGTAGGGACAGGGGCTGCATATATTAGATATCCTTTCATATAACTAAAAGGAAATATAACTATATATATTAAATATAACTACATAAGGAAATATAACCATATAACTAAAGGAAAAGTGTTTTCTTTCTGCTCCTTTCAGCACGGAATAAATCTTTTACTTTATCCTTTCATAACTGCAAGGTTTTGTTTGAATCCACCTCTGGCTTTAAGGAGAATGGGTTTAGTTGCCTCAACCTGGATCCCATTGAGCACCATTTCACATTGAACGAGAAGATCTTAACTGGGCAAGATTAATTCAGGGGATTACTGTGCTTAGTAGTAATCGCAAGCACTGTACCAAGCTGTAACCTGTGCAGTTTCGTAGAAAACTTCAAGAAGCTTAGGCAGCTAAGAAATGTTCAGTTTTCTGCAGTGTTGCAGTTCTTTTCGTCGTGGCTGTGAGGAAGGTGGGGGTTTGTTGCTGTAATCTCATGGAAGGTATTATATAAAAAAAATCATTCAGCCAGAGATGAAGAAGGATTTCCAGGGTTGGTGAGAAGGTTTCCTCTGCGGGAAACGTGGAGCTCTGGTTTCTTATTCCAGGCTGCTGTGGCCCTTGCTCAGGAAGCCAGAGATGTCTGTTTTTGTGTCAGAACCTTCCTGGTGTCACCATGGTTCAATAGGAAGGGTCCAGGCGAGTCGGACCCCTGTCCAGGTTCCTCTGAGGAGACCCTCGCACATCCAGTGTCGCTATGCTGCATCGGTACTGTAGTTCAGAACTGACAGTCACAGCCAGCTTGTGATTGCAATCATTTTGAAAGCCCCAGGGGCAGGAAACGGAGCATTTCAACACATGCTTTAAATGAGCTGTGGAGAACGTCTCAGAACCTGCCGGTATGTGGGAAATAACGTTTGTACAGGAGAGGTCGCGCAGCCTGTCGTTTGAATTGAAAGTGATGGTACAGATGGAATCACAATTCCCCCCCGAGTTCCTGTGAGGGTTCTCAAGGTGTTACGGTCTCTGCCTTCCTTCCAGAAACATGCTGGCACTGTGTGTCCTGTGAGGGACTGGTGTCCTGTGCAGGGTGTGGCTCCAACATGCATCCTGGGTAGCTGGTTGTCGTGATCCCTTCTAGGAATCAGCAGGTCTCGGATAACGGACGTGTGCATGGATGATCGTTATTGTCACTCTTTCTTCTTCCAGTTGTCGTCAGTGTTTGTTAAGAAATTGGAGAGAATGGACCTGCCAACACAGGTGGGGGGGGTGACCCCTGGCCTTCCTGAGACAGACACAACCCCCCCCCGCCTCTCAGCCTGGAAAATAATGAGCTAAGGTCAGGGACACAATGGCCTTGTGTTCTGGAGCCTGCTCCTGGGCCTTTCAGCAGAGCTGTGCTTTCGTGTCACGCATGAGTTCCTCTGAGGTTTCGATCTGGTGCAACTGGTTATTTAATCCAGTTAAATTTGTTCTAAAAAAAGTAAAATAGTTTTAAACCAGGTGAAGTCCTTATTTAAAAAATGCTAATACGGCTATTTGTTCATATTTCTTAATCCCTGTTGGATTTTCTAAATAAATATCAATCGATATCAAAACGCCAATTTAAATATCAATATCTGAGATCGTGGTTGGGTTTGCGCCTCTTTTGAAACTTCAGAATTCTCCTCAAAAGCATTTGTTTCAAATTAGACGGGCCACGTCACAGGAATGGGAGACGAGGGAGCTAACAGCTTACAGCTAGTGACTGAGCGCTGGAGTCCGCTGCCTCTACACACTGAAGTACAATCCCGCTCGTGAGGACCATCGAAAACCCTGCTTTATACAGTTTCCTTTTCAATCCAAGCATGCATTCCTTGCCATCTGTTATTTATATACGTTGGAAATCTGAGACCCTTCTATAAAAGGAGCAGTGAACCATAGAATTCACATCAAGCCGTGTACCTCTAACAGGCCCTCAGTCAAAGGACTTTGGAGGGGGTTTTATCGCTCATATCTGCACTTTGGCTGGGAGAGCTACAAGGGTGTACGAGTCACAATTTTTCAAACAAAATCAACTCGGGTCTGAAACGCTGTCATCATCACAACAACAAAACACCTTCGTTTTCAAGGAAGGTTAAAACACCGGGGCTCTTTGTGAAGTCTGGTCTACATCTCATGAATCAGCGACCTTTCCAAGCCAGTCGCATCCCGAGAGAGCTGTCTGGAGACAGCGGAGTGCGGGAGCTGTTGTCACACTGGGATGCCCTAGGACTGTCTGCAGAAAGCTGTCCCCCTCTCCAGAACTGGAGGAAGACTCAGTGGGCAGTCAGGGGTGGAAGGTGGGGGTTTAGGATAGCAGAGAGGCAGGGCCAGGGAGCGGGAGGAAAAATAACCAGCCGAACACAATCCGTCAGAGAATGCAAGCAAGCGAGAGTGAGTGTGTGCGAGACAGGATAGGCTAGTTTGGATAAGAAATATAAGAAAGTGCCCATTTATCTCCTGGCTTTTCATTTTTATTTCTGTTTTTCTGCTTGTACCAAAACCAAGGACCAAGTGTTATTATAACAATACAGAAATTATAACATACAATCAAAGAAGAAACTATACTTTGTGCAACACAATTGCATATTTTGGCAAGTAAACATACACTCAAATTCTGCATCCAGTAGATGCAAAGCCAGACTGAATTTTCTAAACATTAGAGGGGTTTGTTGATACCTGGATATGTAGTTAAGACTCTTTCTGGACCTGGCCTTCTGTGGCAGAGAAAAAGTAAAAAGGTTCAGCATTATCTGTCTCCTACTGCATCATGATTATCTGATCATCTTGGCTTTCAATGTTTTCAAGTGAAAGATGTTTGGCAATGATGCACTTGTTACTGGTTCTGCATTTTCTATACCGGTTCTGCATTTTCTAAACTGGTCATTTTATTTATTGTTTCATTTTTTTCCAAAACGAGGAGGATGTCAGAAATAAATGCTGCAGTTTGATTTTTAATGGAAAGTTCCGTGTTGTTAGAGTTGTTCACTGAAGCATACTTAAAGAAGGTACATCACAATGAATGGTGGAGATAAAAGGTACAAGGGTTTGTTCATTTTGGCAGCAATTTGTAGAAGACTGATAAAGGCACACATGGAGGCTTTAACACAGTGTTGGGGTGTAGTTGTTTTTTCTTGTATGCTGTAGCTGGACTATCAATTATAAAAGGTACCTGGTGATTCTCTAGACCAGCAGTTTCCCTTTCAGTTTCCAGATGTTCTGCTTTTAGATGTATTTTTTTCTGCTTCATTATATTTGAAAATCCAACAGAATAACAAATAATCTGCACTCAGGAAACACTGGCAACGTAGACACCTTACATGATATGAAATTGCTGTTCATGCATTGCAGTGTGTGTGCAGATAATGAGGAATTTAACAAGATGGCTGGTTCTTTTTTGCTAGCTTCAAAGACGGGTTTTCAGACTGGAGCGATGACAGCTGTAGCCTTAAATTAGATTCCATGCCGCATTGTTCCCTTCTGCGGAAACCCTGTTGTAGCTCTGTGGAGCACCAGGGGTCTGTGGACTTCAATGTGAGCACCGCTGGTCTAGACCTCAAAAAAGCCTCTTGTGAGAAAGGAGACAAAGAGCCTCCTAATTCATTTCCCAAGGTGGGACAACAGATGGAGCACAGTGAACATCGGTGAAGCTATAGAGGTAAGATGAGTTTCAATACTGCCTGATATTCTGATGCTCTTTCCAGGCTGCGGTGAACAGTGATGTAGCCATGGATGGACTCTCTGAGAAAGACAGTGGCCTGGAACTCACTAATGGCCATCTTGGAAGCAGCCCACTAACAGCCTCAGAGCCCCCTTCTCCTCTGAGCCCCAAGCAGAATGGGGGTTCCATTTCTCCGGGTAAGTTATGTTTAAAGTTACTTTAATTAGATGTCAACTGTCGCTTGAATTTGAGGAGGTAGACATGGATTAGAGAGGCGTGCCAAAGGTGCATACTTTATTGATTTGAACTCCGCCAGCAAGATGCTCTTTAATCAAGAGTTTTAATCAATTTCCATTATAGCTAGGAAGCTGATGTAGCCAGATTTTTGGTGGGGTTCTGTGATAGAAGGCTGTTATCAGCTGTTTGTAAGGCATCTCTGGAAAGTCAGTGTGTGTAATATCTGCATAGTGTTGTGAGTATGGACTAAAAAGTAAAGTAAATAAAAATACTGACAAACCTACACACTTACAGGTGAAGGTGATTTCACTGATACATGATGCCAGCCATGCTTTGATTAATCTCTTATCTTTAGAAGTTTCAAGATAAAAACAGTCAACATGAAAACTAATGAAAAGGTTGGCCTCAGATTTTCAACGTCAATTATATAGCACATTTATTATGTGTTTTTGAAAACTATCAAGTCAAGGATGCTCACCAATCATGAGTTGTGAACATCTGAAATAGGTGAGAGTTGGAATATGGAAACAGGAACATCCATAGATAAGAGTTGTTTGAGGATTGCGGACCACAGTAATACTGTAAACCTGCTATTATGTCAACACGAAATCCAATTTTTTTAATGCAGATGTTGTAAAGGGATAGTTCCAAACAGGATAAAAGAAATACGTTTTTCTGAGTGAAACAGTAAACCCCAAATAATCTTTAATTATAATAAAGAAGTGGTCATCTCTTGCTCTTGAATTGAAATTGCGCATTGTTCATTGTGATGAATTAGGTGCAGGCTGCTCAGGAGTGTGTGTCATTGGCCGCCTTGTTTAACTGGTCTGTGTCATCTGTCCATGACAGAGATCAACATGGACAAGCCATCCAGCTGCAAGAAGAGGCTGAGGAAGAATTCTGAGCTGGAAGACGAAAGCGCATGGGATTCTTCTTACAGTGAGGTACAGCCCTTAACTTACAGTAGAATTGCAGACCTAGTTTTTGTGTCCTTCTTAAAAAGATTCTGAAATCACATTTTTGTTACCCTCAATGAAGTGGGCTTCATTGGCTCACATAGATTCTGCAGCTTTGTAGCTCCTTTTAAGAGAGTTAGCGGAGGATGAGAAGGGTGCGTTGCTTAATGATGACACAGACAGCTCTCGAGTGCCCGTCAGTCCCTGGTGTCTTGTTACATGACAAACTGAGGTGCCCTGCGTGACCCAAGTCCACAGCTAGTATTCGCCCAGCTTTGTGCCACTGCTTGAGAAGTCCCAGGCTCCCCTCACCAGGCAACATTTTTAAATCTGATTTCTTTTTTTTTTTTTACAAAATGAATGGTCCAAGTATTATCTGAGAAGGGTTACCTGATGTGGGTTGATGGCATGAATTATTGCTCATGTACAAGGACGAAGTTGCGTCAGCATGCGTAGGCTGCCAAGGAACAAGTGTATTCCATGCTAAAAAGAAAAGAAACACAATGTCTTCTTCACACCCCAAGAAGGCTCCACATCCTAAACGTTGTGTTCCTATTGCACATGCTGTTCTGTTTGTTAATTATTGTACAAGTGATTCTCTTTCAAGCTGAACTGCAGTGCAGATGTTGAAATACAAGGCTGACTGAATAGGCAGATATTCTCATTCTTCCCAACACGGAGTGGGAGATGTTTGACAGCCACAGCATTGCACTACTCTTCTTCATCGAGTTGCCAGGAAGAACTTGAAATTGTCCAGCTGGTGCCAGGCAGTCATAACACACAGCAGGAATTTCATACGCTCGCAGTTGGAATAGTTCTCCGTCTGGTATTCTTCTATATGAAAGATTACATGCCTCGGCATTTACCTGTAGTACTGGTTCTTCTTCCGTGTCAGTCGCTTGGCAGCAGTCCCAAAGTGTCGAACACATCCCTGTTGAAAGTGAAGAACAGTGTGCTGGCTGTAGCCACAACCACCATGTTTTTTCTTTTGTTGTTTAATTTCCAGTTACTGTCCAAAATACTGTCCAGTTTTCCCTGTGCTTTATTATTCTTCCTTCAGTGTTGACAGAACACAAGCTTTGCTAATGTCACTTTTGCTGCTGGGTGTTTTGTCCACCAGCTCGTGTCCTCTGTCCTGATTGATCGGTTGTGAGGCGACAGGAGCTTTGGTCAGTTTCATTACTGACACCCAGGCCCTCTGATGCACTTCTGGTGCAGCTGTTGTAGGAGAATGTGTTCTGGATATCTATAAAGGAGTAAAAAAAAACTTGGAACAGTTATTCGCATGGTGATATTCGCATTGCTTTGCCTTTGGTAAGGTTCCAAATGATAGCAGATTCAAGACAAAATGGTTATGTTGTAGTTAGCCACTTAGAGACACTGGCCTAAACTGAGTCATTAAAAAAGGCAAATGTTCTGTATTGTTTGGTTTTCTGCTGGCTCAATCATATTGTAAAAAGGCTTCTGACGATGTGTCAGGGCTGGATATCCTGTTGAAAAGTTTAGTACTTTTTTGGAGTGCCATTTTGTGATTCATTTGAGTAGGACATTTCTATTTTTGTAAGCTTGTTTCTCGGCATCCAGCCCCATGTGTTTCTCGCTGTTGGAATTCAAATAAATGGAAGGATTTGATTCATTGATAGGAAAAATCCCGGGGAGTGGCAGGCTGGGAGACCAGTCTGAGACAGAGACCGCCTCCTCGGACGATATTCCAGGCTGGACTCAGCCCCCATGGCAAGCCCAGGAGCAGAGACAGCAGCCTGAAGCCAAAGCAGGATGAGAGCAGCTCTCTGGTAGGTCGTGAAACCCCTCACTCTCAGGCAGGTCATTTCCTAAATCCTTCACTCCTGCTGAGCTCAGAAATAATTCACTAAACCATTAAACTAAGCAATTCTTTGCGCACTTAGAAGGTTTTTAAATGGCGATTCACCTATTTGAAGTTAATCTGATGTGTTTGGTAGGAGGCTTCAAATATACGGCCGTGAAGGAAGCGTATGATTAATTCAGTGAAGTGTACCATTAGGTAAAAGACAGCTCCTCTGGAAGGCAAGCCAACAGAAAAGGGGTCACGAGAGACCAAGATGTCAGAGCTATGCTAAGCCCTCTGTAGACAGCAGACAGATGTTAGTTGTGCAGAGGACCTTTGAGTTTTGTCAGCTGCATCTCCATCTAAACTGTTAACTGCCCAGTTCCACCAGTTTGGGGTTTTTGTTACCTAGTTTAACAGCATTGTCTTGTTCTAAGGATGTCATTATGTGATGTGATTTAAATAGAGCTGTAAAGTGTGGGCAGCAGCCATCCAGAAGCAGAACTGAGCACTCTTGGTTATTTGCTTATCTTTCAGTACATGTTTCATGGGGAGAGCTTAACAAAACTTTTGAGTTTTGAGGAGACCAAAGTAAACAGATTTCCAAGGCTGTAATGTTGTGGTATATGCAAAATATCTGTGTTTGTATTGTCTGCAAGTGTGACTTGTTTTACATAGATCACTCGTTTGTATTCAGAGTTTTACATTTTTAAACTTTAACATTAACATTTTTAACTTCTGCCAACTGTGTCTGATTGGTTAAAGGGTGACTTTGCTGGCTATCAAGATACTCTGTTTTGTACTCTTGAAAAATATGCAATTCAAATAAGGTCAGACAGACCAGATGTAAATCAGATGTGATCACAGCACATCTTGGTGTTACCAAGGCCAGATGAGCCAAACGGAGGCAGCTTGCTCCTGAGCTCTGGCACAGCCATGTGGCTGCATCCAGGCAGGCAGCTGTTTCCAGCTGTTCTCTCAAGTTTTACTTCCTGCATTTTGCTTCTTGGCTGCAGGGTCTGTCGCACATGTATTCGGGATTCAGTGTGAAAGGTGTGGGACCAGATGCTTCGTAATTGAGTCAGCACATATTTTTTTGGTTGTGTTTTTGCTATAATGCCCTATAATATCTTTTGACTGTGCACTTTAACTATAACCCACTTTGAACAATTGTATTTCTTTTTTCTTTAAAAAAACATAGGAATTGGCAATTGTTTTTATCACATTGTCATTCATTCAGTCATGAGAAGACCCTTTGGGGGCACCCCTGTTCTCTGTAAGAGCTAAACCTGCTAAACTAGAGCTAAACCTGCCTTTTGGGTGAGTTCCTTCTACCGTGGAACCCCTGTACAAAATAATCTTTAATTAACAAGAGTGAAGAGATACATCCAAAATAACACATAGTTATACTATCACATAGTTTTGATTTCCATGGGAATTTAACAATTTAACAAGGCCTGCTTGTCGATATATACTTGCAAACCTGCCAATATCAGCTGTTACAAATATAGCCTCGGTAAATGTATTTTTCTTAAGAGATATAGTTCAATATCTGGTACACTTTTGCTTGTGTGCAGTGCTTCTGTGATTTTAAGCGACGTCTTGTAAATGAAAAGCACTTGACTGAGAAAGTGCTGCTCACTCCACAGCAAACTTGTTTACCTTTCATTATTATTCGCACCTTTTGAATGGGGTTAACTCTGAGATGCACAGACCTTCTGCAAGGCCACCGCAGTCTGTGACTCCATTTCCTTTGGCCAGCTGTCGCGAAGCCGCATGCTGGGACTCTTCCATAAGCCCCTCGCCTCTTGCAGAACCAGAACGGCGGCAGTCCCAGCGGCCTACAAGCCCACCTGCCTGAGGCGCCCTCTCTGGAGCTGATGGAGCAGGACTCAAAGGACTCGGCCCAGAGCAGCTCCACCTCCACGTCCCAGGAGACAGCCAGCAGCTCCACGGAGTCCGGCTGCCAGCCGGAGTACAAGGTGACCCCCTGCCTCCTCCCCAGGGCTTCGGCCCTGGTGCTGGAAAGACACTGCTGGTCTTGATTCCTGCTCTCGCCGACTTTACTGCGCCGGTCAAAATGAACGTGTTCCAGATCTAAAGTCAATGATCACATCGAGACTTCTTTAAGTCAAGGTGTCTATTGTCTGGGGCAGAGATCTCTGAGTTCATTTCTCGTATCCTTTCTATGCCATTCAAGGTTTCTGTTTTGCTTATAGTGCGCACACTCGAAAGTGTTTTAATGTTAACAGGGGAATTTAATTCACGCTGCTTCACAATAGCTTAACCTTTGTCTTCACAAGGGTCAGTACACCCTTTCACACGCAGTTTTCATTTTGCACTACACAAACAACACTACACAACACTACATGCACTACACAACAACAGAATTTTTCCAGAACAACCTGATATCTGTATGTGTAATGGCCAATGAAGTTATTTACTTGTTATAAAATAAAACAATGTGTATCATATCTAGCCAGCATCCTTATCCTTCCAGTATTTCATATTAATAATGTACTTCAAAGTCATTTGAATGTTCTTACCTTGTTATAACCAAACACCATGTTACAACCCTTTGTTCTGAATTACATTTCAGTATTACTCCATATAATATAAACCAAGCACTAAAATAATAACAATATAAAAATACTAAATCACTCATCACTGTTAGTATTTTTATTGGATCTATTAGAACATGCACGCAGTCAAAATTATTTATTTTTTTCATTTGTGATATGTTTGCTCTTATTGAATTGAAATTCAGATTAGTATCTTAAAAGTGTCTGGAATGTCTTTCACGATGTTACTGATTTCAGTAGCAGTATCAGTCCCTTGCACACGCACTGTTGAAGTGGCCGGAACGACTGATGAATGAATGAATGAGCAGTTTTGTTCACCCGCTGCCTTTGTCGTCCCCTCCTCTAGGATAATAAAGGCTTCGGGATTGGCGAGCTGGTGTGGGGGAAGATCAAGGGCTTCTCCTGGTGGCCAGGCATTGTTGTCACCTGGCGTGCGACAGGCAAGCGACAGGCGTCACCTGGCATGCGCTGGCTGCAGTGGTTTGGGGATGGCAAGTTCTCTGAGGTGAGTCACGCCAAGCCGGCACAGTGCTGCGTTCGCAAGCCCCTGCGCGTTACCCACCATGAGTCAGTTGTCCACACTTAGCCAGCGCACTTGTCCGACACACCCATTTGTGATGAATTGATGGATGAAAGTTGTGCTCCGCTGTCTGTCACAGTGTGCTTTCCTCTCGTCCAGGTCTCTGCAGACAAACTGGACTCCTTCATGGCTTTCCCCAAGTATTTCAACCAAGCTTCCTACAACAAGCTAGCCTCTTACAGGAGAGCCATCTTTCAGGCTCTTGAGGTAAGCTGACCCTTCGATGCCAGATGAAATCTAGAAGCTTTTTGTTTTCCTGTGTCTGGGTTTGCAGCAGTAAGATTTTTCAAAGAGCAGCTCTGGAAGTTCTGGGATTCACTGCGTTGTAGGCTGGAGTGTGTTAAACTCAGTAATGTGGAGACCATCTGCAAGCAGCTGGTCTCATTAACAAGGGGAACACTGCTTCCTTATCACATCAGGAGTCACTGGGTTTCCTTACAGCAGGCTGCAGGGCTGGAATTTCACCATCAAAAAAGAATTTTGTGCACTTAAAAGCAGAAATAAAAAAAAAGACACGCTCTTATCAGCTTCAGGCCTGTCTTATGTAATTGCACGAAAAGCAAAGATTTTCTGGTTTTGGTTGCAATGCGTGTTTTGGAATATTTTGAAAGGGGGCAGTTTAGTAATTCGATTTACAGCTGTAGCAAATCCCACTGTGCAAACTGCTGCTGCTCAGCAGCTGTCTGCTGCTCCCGCCACATTTCGAGGTGGCATGCTGATCAGCACAGCACACAGGCACAGGCAGCTCCAGTCCTTTAACCATTAACATCCTTCCAGGATGTAGCAAATGCTTTGGTTCTTCAGCTACATTCTCTGTTAATGCACATAGTCCCAAGTTCAGTTCAGGAATGCAGTGTCATCTAGTGGTTAGATAAGAGGATTTAAAGCTTCATTGATTAGCATAGTTTGCCTCTTTTTTTATCTGATCTCGAACCATGTTTATTGTGTAGAGCAAATAGCCAAGACATCAGCCCATGTCAGACAGAAATTACAGTGATAATGTAATCCTTGGTGGATAATGGTCCCTTCTTTATAGAGATTGGGGAACAAGCCGTGATTTTATGGACTGTGTGTGGTAATAGGATGGAATTATATTGCTGGAATATAGCCTAGCATTACTTTAAACACAAAACAGGAGTTTATTGCTTTGCACCATTTAATTATATTGAGGTTTTGTGTTTATCCATCATAAGGACAGTAAATCAAATACATTTGTATAATTGGTCTGCGTTAATTAATATTTTATGTTTTTATTCTTGTATTGTTTATGTATTATGTATTTCATAGTTTTACCCCAGGGTATTTTTTAAATACATGCAATGTTTCTGCATCTTTTTGTTATATCATTTAAAGTTCCTTTCTTAAAATTATCATATGCCATCACAAAGAACTGAACGATCATCGATCAATAGCCTTGGTCAGTCTGTGTGTTATCATGTCCTGGTTGGGGACATGATAGATTCCATATGACAGCCAGGGACTCTGAAAGTGACCGTGCACGTGTGTGTGTTTGTGTCTGTGTAGATGGCCAGCACCCGTTCAGGAAAGACCTTCCCCCTGTGTGAAAATGACAGCCCTGAGGACCAGGTGAAGCCTATGTTGGACTGGGCCAATGGAGGCTTCCAACCCAAGGGCTTGGAGGGGCTCAAGCCCTCCGAGAACACAGGTGAGACCTGCTCTCCGCCCCTGTCCACATGGAACAGTTTGATTTAGCTGTGGGCTGCAAGTGGAAAATGAAAACCTTTCACTTTTACTCCTTTAGCTTCAGATGCGCCTGAAGTTAAATCAGTGTGTAGAGTTCAGTTAGGCATAGCTCCTTGACATTAAAAAAGCAGGCAGTAGAACTGTGGTTTGACTCTGGCCATAACATGTTCAGCTGGCTGAAAGAATTTGTGATATTCTTAGACAGCTGGACATTTAGATGATGATTTCTGTCATTTGTGATTGATATTCCTATATCATGTTGTACCCCTTTTACATTGTCTCTTTAAATATATGTTGTGTTCTTGTTCTTGTTTTGACATCTATTGCAACACAAGAGGAAGGTTAAGATTTTCCTTGTATTAAAAAAGCCCTTTGAAAAATAAGGAACAAGTAATAGGTTTATTCCATGCTGAAAAAAAGAAAGAGAACACAACGTTTCGGCCGTGGAGCCTTCTTCAGGTGTGAGAGAGACAGGGCAGTAGGCAAAGGTAAAGTAGCGGGAGAACAAAGGTTGGGAGGGAGGAGGAGTGAGAGGTGGGAGCAGGGGACAGAAAGAGAGGCCAATCAAGAGGTGTGAAGTCAGAATGGGTGCAGAGAGGTGTGAAATGAAACTTCCAATGAATGGAAAAATTTAAAAGAACAGTAGTCTGTCATTAAGGGAAGGGAGAATGTGTGATCCTAGCTGCAGAATAATTTTAGTTTCGGTGGTCTTTCTGATGTATGAGTTCGGAAAACCGTCTTTGAGAACACAGACGGAGAGGTTAGAGTGGTCATGGCAGTCAGAGGTGAAATGAGAAACAATGGGCTTGGAGAGATCTTTAATCTTCACAGCCCTGACATGTTCTCTGAAGTGGTCTCTGAGTTTCCTTCCTGTTTCTCCAATGTACATTGATGTAGATGGCCAGCACATTGATGATTGATACATCAGAAGGACCACCGAAACTAAAATTATTTTACAGCTAGGATCACACATTCTCCCTTCCCTTAACGACAGACTACTGTTCTTTTAAATTTTTCCATTCATTGGAAGTTTCATTTCACACCTCTCTGCACCCATTCTGACTTCACACCTCTTGATTGGCCTCTCTTTCTGTCCCCTGCTCCCGCCTCTCACTCCTCCTCCCTCCCAACCTTTGTTCTCCCGCTACTTTACCTTTGCCTACTGCCCTGTCTCTCTCACACCTGAAGAAGGCTCCACGGCCGAAATGTTGTGCTCTCTTTCTTCTTTTTTTCACCATGGAATAAACCTATTACTTGTTCCTTTGCAGCCTACGCATGCTGACGCAGCTACCCACCTGAACTACTTTGAAAAATAATACTTTATACACTGAAGCCGACATTGAATTTATTTTACTAACTCATACTTTGATGGCCATTCAAATAAACTTGCTTCAGAACTGCATGGATTTGTGCTGTGACTTCTCACATCCCTGCACGAGCTTATTAACTTAACTCAAGCAATCCTCCAAATGAGGGTGATCAGCACAGGACCTGGAACTGAGGAAGTTGTTGCTAGCTTCTGACCTGCAGTGGACTAGAAGAGCAACACGCTGAGCAGCTCTGTTCTAGAGCATAAGAAAATGGTTACAAAGGAGAAGAGGCCAGCTGGTTTGGTAGTAAGTAGCTGACTGATCTCAGGATCTCATCCAGCTGTGTCCTGAAGGAAGCCAGTTTTAAATGCATTTCCACATAGTTCCCACCTGTGTCCTCTGGTTTGTGTGTCACTGTGCATTCTGATGAACCCCACTGGGCCTTTGAAGGTTTTGAATACTTGTGTCAGGCATCTAAAACATGTGGTGCACAGCAGTGCAAAGAGGAACAGAATTACAATGGAGCTGGTTTCTGGCTTGGATTGGGAGGTGCTTTATGCTTAACGATGGTTTCTGTGTCTGTGTCAGTGACCGGCTCTTTGAATCACCATGTCCTGGAGGTCAGTCTGCCCGAATACTTCCCCCCGGCCAAGAAACAGAAGCCCTGCAAACCCAAGCTGGGAAGTGAAGAAGACTACAGCAGAGGTGAACACCCAGTTAGGGCTTTCTCTTCAACATGTGCAAGAGGGACTGGCACTGTGGCCTGTTTATGGAAAACCTGTGTAACCTGGTAGCAAAGGCATATCAGGGAATAAACATTTTGGGTTTTATCAGTGTGAACCTCCAGTTTCTATTGAATGTAGAGGACAGCTGCAAAAAGACACAGCCAGTTTGATGTTTTCTGATACCCCATGTTTTCTCTTTTGTTTTGCTTTTCAGAACAAATGGTCCATGAAGTTTTGAAGAATAACAGAAGTATAGAAGGTAGAGCTGAAACTTTCTGTAAATTTCCTAATAAAACTATTTCTCCTTTCTTGTGTCACTGTGGCGCTGCCCTTACCTCACCTGTGAAAGGCTGCAGTGATACTCTTCTCGAGGTGACTGTAAGCATTAGAAACACCCCCGATATTGTGAACCTTCTTCTTCAAAAAGTTTGTTGCTTTTGCCTAGTGGCAAGCCCAAGCTCTGCAGTGGGATGAATTGTTGATTGATCATGAGCCTGTGGCGGTAGAGATGAGACCCTCCCACCTACTTTCATGCCTTGGCAAGACAGGGGACGTGACATCAGCGTCAGACCAACCCTCTGTGTGTTGGGGTCAACAAGTCTCATCCTGGCTCCCGTCAGGATGGGTCTGGTGAAAAGATGTGTGAGTAAATGTGTCTTGTAACAGCCCTCCCAGTGAACCCATTGTTAAGATAACCCCTCCTGTCCTTGGCGATGAAGATAACTGTCATCACCCTCATCCCTGCAAGGCTTAGTGTACTGTGGAACTGAACTAATCCTTCTGAACAACAACAACAACCTCCGAGATGTGTGCAGTGACTCTTAACTGCTGGCTATTCATCTTTTTTTCACAGAATTTTGTCTCTCTTGTGGGAAAACACGAGCAGCGACTTTTCATCCACTTTTTGAAGGAGGTCTTTGCCAAACCTGCAAGGTGGGTGACACTCAGCAGGGATATTGTGTTTGGGGAAGTTTCTGAAGTTTGCAGTAGGGTTAGGAAATGTTCTCACCAATCTGAGTGCTTGACAGTAAACTTTTGTTGAAGACAATAGAATGATAGAATTAATGTCACTGATTGTTGTTTTAGCCTTCAATAGTGATTAGTATCAGAGCCTCAAAAATGACAGATAAACAGTCTGCACTCAGGTTTACATGAGTAATGTTATAATGTAATAATGTTTACATTATTGCAGTTTTATTAACATGATGTTTCAGTACCTCCTGTGAAAATATAAGTCAAGATACTGTACATTAGTAAGTGAATTATTTGTCATTGTATTGAATACTCAAAAGAGTTTGATGCAGTTGTTCAGAATTGGAACACGTTTTATTTAAATGTTACATATTTGATATAAAGGAACAAGTAATAGGTTTATTCCATACTGAAAAAAGAAGAAAGGAAACACAACGTTTCGGCCATGGAGCCTTCTTGAAGGCACCTGAAGAAGGCTTCATGGCCAAAACGTTGTTTCCTTTCTTCTTTTTTCAGCATGGAATAAACCTATTACTTGTTCCTTTGCAGCCTACTCATGCTGACGCAGCTACATGCCTGAACTACTATTTGATATACATTTCATACGACATATAAGTGTTTATTTGAACTAACATCCATCCACTTTCAGTGACAATCAAGTACAGGGGCACAGGCAGCTGGAAATAACCCAGTAGACAGTGGGTAAAAGTCACAATTTACTCTGCATTGCCAGGCATTCATTTAGAATATTCAGATTATTTTGTTCTGGATGAGTGTTTACTATAAAAACAAGGTCTCAGGTTTCTCAAATGCGATGTTCAGATGTACACCTATTGTTTAACTGTCTTAAGTGAAAACTTTAAAGGGCTGGATGCCCGAGTGTTGAATGTAGAATGATTTTAATTTTAATCATACCAAACCAGCTGTCTTTATTACAGAAACCATTTTATTCCAACCAGTGTGTCTGAATATATTCTGTTCTAATTTCAATAGATTTTTTATAATGAAATACAGTGTTTTACTGCCTTGGTTTTCCTTAAAGAAATATCATCATCTGACTATTTTCTGACTACTTGGAAGTACATTTAGATTTAGAATACAGTTTAATATGCTGCACTTACAATCAAGTCATGAACCCAGCGTGTAATATGAAGAGCTCTGAGTTTGGAATTCATATCCATTACTCTTTCTACAGGCAGTGTGTAATTTTTCCTTCTGAAGAAACTAATAGCTACAGATATTGGGTAATATCGGAATAGTTCAGAAAACAATTTGTTATTTTGATCACTCTACACGAGTCTCAACATGAGCTCCTGAAATTGACTGATACGTCTTCATTGAGTCGGCATGATAACTCCCCTGCTCAATAACAAATATATTGAGTTATTTCCTATAACTGGAAGCTCACGTTACCTGCCAGTACGTGTCATATCCAGTCATATTTACTGCAATGATTTATAGCCTATGCTGAAGAATATAACATCCTATAATTCAATACCTACACAGTATAATATAATGGGAGCATGACATATCACTTGTGTTCATTTCAAAACATTTTAGTTTAATTAGGATTTCTGGTCACTGAAATTGGTGCTAAACAGGGGTTACAAAGCAGGCACAGAAAAGAAACATATAATTGTAATATAATCTATTATACTCAAATCTGTTCTGGCCAGGGTAAGCGATTATGTTTTTTTCCTGTCACATGAATTCCTTGTGCACCCCAGCCTGAGTGTTACAGGCTGAAGCCACAATCCACTGGGACAAGATACTGTAAAAACAGAGATTGGGGAATGGCCTTATATTTTTCTCAAATATACGTTTTCCTTGAAGCGCAGGGTGCAATAACAGCTCATTTCTCCACATTATTCAATGAGCGAGAAGCTCTTTGCTTTGTTAGATTAATTAAAAACATTTCCACAGTATCTAATTCAATGTGTAATGTTCACTACTTGTAATAATCAAATAATATGATAGTATATAGATGTGATTGATCGCAACCCAATGATACACTGGTCTAAATAGATAGTAACTACAAAATAAGACAGTTTCAATAATAGCATGCAATTGATAGTACGCAGACAGTATGATGGTATTGATATCAAAATGATTGAAAGCAAACCAATTGATATGACAGGAGCAGTAGTAGATGTGATTGATTGCAACCAAACACAGCATCATCCTCACTAAGACCCCAGCCATGCCCCCTGTCTCCACAGGATGTGTATTTAGAAATCTCCTACATGTACGATGACGATGGCTACCAGTCGTACTGCACTGTGTGTTGTGGAGGCCGGGAAGTCCTGCTGTGTGGCAATGCCAACTGCTGTAGGTGGGTAATACCCTGTGTTCACCTCCTTCTGGACTCTCCTGGAAGTGCACGTTCTAAGAGCCCCTATGTTAGCTGTAGGCCCAGTCCAGGAGTTTTCTAGGCCACAGTTCAAAGGACAATTTCTAAAGACGTGGGAACAAATGGCTGAAATAGGTCATTTAGAGATCGTATGGGACCATAATCCCAGTACCCTTCAGCCCACAAAGATCAGCGATTTCTGAATTAAACAGATGAGTTGCTTAATTGATCAGTAACTCGCGGGTCTCCCCCATGGTTAAAAGAGGCGACCCCTGCTCTAGAGGCACCGCTGTCGCTGTGGGAAACGTCTGTTTCCTGTGGGGCATGTGTGCTGCTCAGCCCTTGCCTGTCTCCCAGGCATCCCCCATAGCCCACTCCGTCATCAGATCGCTTGCTCGTGCGGCCGTGAGATCCGTCACAATTGGCTGCAGATGTTGAAACCTCCAGATGTAAACGATAAACCCCCGAGGAGCCGTTGAAGCTGAAATTCCTTGTTGGTGCCTACGTTTTCTGGCTGCATTCTTGTTAAGAAAAAGAGAGTCGTGCCCGTCTGACTCCTCCCCACTCCCATCCCTCCCCCCAGGTGTTTCTGTGTCGACTGTCTGGACATCCTGGTGGGTGCCGGGGCAGCGGAGAGCGCCAAGGTGCTGGACCCCTGGCGCTGCTACATGTGCCAGCCGCCCCAGCAGTACGGCGTGCTGAAGCGCAGGGGGGACTGGAGCGTCAAGCTGCAGGAGTTCTTCGTCAACGACAACGGCCAGGAGTTTGTGAGTGGTGACGGGGGTTTCGGGGCCACGGCGGGCTGCACTCGCCTCTCGTCTCTCGCCACAGTGGGGTGACCAGCTCATCGTGGCACAAACCTCTTTTGCAGGAGAGCCCCAGAACATACCCTGCTGTTCCTGCGGAGCAGAGAAGGCCTATCCGAGTGCTCTCTCTGTTTGACGGCATTGCCACTGGTGAGCAATTTGCGGGTTTGGAGAGGAACTTCTGTGTACAATTTAGCGTCCTTTAATACTTTACTTTAGTACATTAGTACTTTTTGTACTTTCCTTGTGCTTAGTCCAAGCTCAGGGGAAAGGTCAAGTGATTACTCCAAGGGCTGGCCAGCAGAAACTTACTACCAGGGTCTTTTCTCCTAGAATACTCTTCCTTTTCAAGAAGAGGCATTTGTTTCAAACTGAGAGATGTTAAGCCAGTTGAATATCGTATATAGCAACTCCAGAAAACAATGGCACAAGGAATGTAATCTGCAGAATTCTCCCCAATTTCAGCCTTGATGCTGAAAAGCCCTCCCTTCTTCATATTCTGCTTCTGGTATTGCAGGATTTGGTTAATTTAAAATTCATTGAGAAGGATAATATGGAATAATATACGTTTTTTTATTTAAATATATGTATTATTGCTAATATATCTGTATATTACGAATGAGGTAGTAACCGTTTCGTGTGATCTTAGTGATATTGTAGTAACCATGGTTGTAAAGTAATTCAAACTGCAACGTCTATTTATGAAATAGTCATTCCAAATAGATAACGCAAATATTGGCCGTCTCCTTTATTATTTATTCAGGTCCACAAAGGTTTCTGCTTAATAAGCACAGAGTCTGCAAATGTTGTTTCTTTAGCATAATAATGGAACATTAAAAATATAATACGTGATGACATTCCATATCATCCTTTAGATGTAACCATAACAAAAGCTGCCAAAGGCAACACGAGAATTTGGCAAACAGTCGTCAGTGACAATGCTTCTTAATCTATGAAAATGTTGAGATAATGACAACGCATTTATGAAAGCCCTGTTATTAACTGTGAGTGAATGCAAGCTTAATGAAGTGCAGAATGTGATCTGGTTAACAGGTAGGCTCCACCATAATGTATTTATTAATTTTAGATTCTTTTTGTGTAAAATTGTATTTTTAGAGACCTACAGTACCTAAAATAAAATTGCTGTTTTCCATTTAACCTCTTGCTACATGGCAGCTTGTCCTGTCTGCATGTAAGTGAACTGAAAACCTGAATCACATTATTGGCACGTTTGTGTGTTTTATCTTGAGATGTCACTCTTTGGTCTAAAACTATATATGCCTTTGTGCATGTTTTGCAGGGTATTTAGTTTTAAAGGATCTGGGATTCAAGGTTGACCAATATATTGCATCCGAGGTGTGTGAAGACTCTATTTCCGTAGGAGTCGTCCGGCATGAAGGAAAAATTCAATATGTGCACGATGTGAGGAACATCACAAGAAAGAATGTACGTAAAATATTTTTTTTTTAGTTAACTCGCCTGAGACGTAAAACACACCCGACCTGCTTTCATTGCCTTGCTCTCAGAACGCTTGCAAGAGAAGCGGTTTTTATCCCAACTTTTCCTTTGCCAGATGGAACTGACCAGGCTCCAAAGTTTTCTGAATGGAATAAGTGTCCCAGGGGGCTCAAGCAGTCAGAGTGCTCACTTTGAGCACGGGCTGAACACTATGGCTCAGATGTCTCAGGTTCGAGCTCGGGCTACGTCACTAAATGAGGTTGACTGAGTTTCACTGAAGAGGCAGTGCCAGTTTCCAGAATGCTTTTGGGGTTAATTAGTTAGCCTAGTCTCTCTTTTGAAAATCAGCAGCTCCCTGGGACTTGTCAGAGCTTATAGTGACATCATTGAGAGGTACGCTGTACGTCCAGTCATTATTAAGTGTCCTGTCTGGCTCTATGGAGCTTGTACCATGTCAAAGGTGAATGGCCATGCAGTTGGGTATGCTGGAGGAGTATCTCAATGTCTTTTTTTCTTTAAGAATTGTTATAATTGGATACAAGAATCAAACATATCTAAGATAGATAAGATAAGATCACTTTATTGGCCATATACAATTTCTTGCATTAGGAATTTGTCTTTTCGCATACCCCAGCTTGCTCTCCATGAGACACATAGACAGGCAGTGAGAGAAGCTTGGGGTTAGAGCGCAGGGCCTTGGTCAAGAGCCCAAGGGAGTAGGATTCCTCTGCCAGCCACAGGATTTGAACCAGCAGCTTTCCAGCCACAGGCACAGATCCTTAGCCACAGAGCTCCGCCATATATCTTGTCCAAAGGCTGCAGGCTAAGTAGATTCAACTGGAAATTAAGTACTAAACACTGAGTCGATATCATGACGTCGTGCTCACAGGTTGGGTCTCACGCTTTGCAGAAGAAACGATCAGAAAGCATGACCAGTTTTTCAGGTATCTTTTACAGTGGGCAAAGATAAACATCAATGGGAAAGTACTGAAAAGAACCGGGAAGAATTAAAAAACATGAACTGCACTGTACTGGCTGCAGGTCATGGGAAAGATACAGGTAGTTGCCTCTACATTCCACATTACCTGTGAGGGTTCAGCTGGAGGTGATCTAGATCGCTATGGAGGCACACTGTTCACAATTAACAAGTATGAAAAATATTTTCTTAAGCTTGATCAGTGAAAAAAGCCTAGAGCAGTGCACTCTGATCAGTGAAGAAGCTATATTACATCAATACCTCCAGCCACAACTTGTTTTGCAATGCTGAAATTATGTTTCTGCATGTTTGGATGCAAATGTTTACATTTGAGGATAATTGTTCAGTCTATACCTGCTGGATACACTAATTCTTTTTGCTCCTCAAGATACCAGATTTCACATTGGTCCATTTCGGTTTGCTTTTGGCCTTTTTTTAATGTGCCTCGAAGTCAACCCCTCACTAAAGGCACTATATTAATCCTTAACTGTAGTGTATATGATTTAAATCCTGCTTTTTCTTCTTGTTAAATGAACAGGTCCATTGAACTGATTCCCGTTTACTTTAGGTCTGTATTGATGCAGCTGTACTTGTTACTTTATTTAGAGTTACAACTGCTGTATGTAGAATACACCCTGCCCTGATTAATTTTATTTGTTTAATATTGCAGATTGAAGAATGGGGTCCCTTTGATCTGGTTATTGGTGGAAGTCCCTGCAACGACCTATCAATCGTGAACCCGGCCAGGAAGGGCCTGTATGGTAAGAAAGTTAGATGCAAATAAAAGCTTCTTAAATGTTTCAAAATCTAAATGTTTACTTACATAATAACTGAATAACCTGCTCACAGAGTAGTTTGCATGTTTTGCATGCATACCCACAGGGTATGTTTTTGCACTTAAGGCAGGATGTGTGCATCTCCCAGACGCCTTCCCCCTGTATTTCTCCTACAGCATTAATGTGTGGACAGGGCACACCCACTAATAGCCCATCCCCGGTAACTGTGCTGTAGAGTCAAATGGTAAGAAGCAAAGATGTGCTGATGCATAAGAATGCAGCGATGATTAGAAAGGGGAGGGGACAGTACACCCCAATTTGTTAGGTGACGTAATTATCCATCAGGCCATCTTACAGGGTCCCTCCCACCCACCCAGCTCCCACAGCAGGGTGGCTGCAGGTGTGCTTCCTGGCACCCACAGTGCCCTGCACTGGATCTCCTGCTTCTGCCTTGAGTGCTCCTCCGCTTGATATCTGCTTGGGTTCCATGTGTGTTGAAGAAGTCGCCCCATCCCCAGCCCCCACAAACACACATATGCACACACATACACTACTGACCTGTTCTCTTCCTGTTTTTTGGGGGGCGGCTCTCCAGAGGGCACGGGGCGGCTGTTCTTCGAGTTTTACCGCCTGCTGAGCTTTGCAAAGCCCAAGGAAGGGGAGGACCGGCCGTTCTTCTGGATGTTCGAGAACGTGGTGGCCATGGGAGTGAACGACAAGAGGGACATTTCTCGCTTCCTGGAGGTAGGAGTCATTCCCGGAAAAGCAAAGTAAAACTCGCCTTGTAATTAAAATACCCTTGCTCACCTGATATGGCTTTTGCACCAGCCTCAAAAGCAGTATTGCTTCAGTTCTGTCACACCAGTCATGACTCAAGGCGTAGATAATGAGACACATATGGTCCATTTGGGATATATTATTGATTATATCTTATATTTGTTATAATTATATATTTGGGAAAACCCCAGCAATGGAAAGTTTTGTATCAATAAGCTTAATACAGTCATTATGCAGAGGAGTTTTAAATCAACAAGCTTAATACAGTACTGTGTAGAAAGTTACAGGAACAATACAATTCATAAGATAAGATCACTTTATTGGCCATATACAATTTCTTTGAATTAGGAATTTGTCTTTTGGCATACCCCAACCTGCTCTCCATGAGACACACAGACAGGGAAAGAAGCTTGGGGTCAGAGCGCAGGGGCCCAATGGAGTAGGATTCCTCTGCTGGCTGTGGGATTTGAACCGGCAACCTTCCAGCCACAGGCGCAGATCCTGAGCCACAGAGCCACTGCTCCGCACACTGATAACTATTTGTGTTTGTGTTATGTGCTGCAGTGCAACCCAGTCATGATTGATGCCATAGAGGTATCAGCTGCACACAGAGCCAGATATTTCTGGGGCAATCTTCCTGGAATGAACAGGTAGGTGTGTTTTTGGTGTGCTTAGCTGTCTAATAAGTGCCGCCTGTTGCCAGACCCCCTGAGAGCACGGCTTGTTTTGACACTCTGAAGGTGATATAGGAGTTGCACAAACATGTCGGAGCCTTCAGCATATTCTAATGGGAGTTCCAGGTTGTCTGTTTTCTAGTAATTTATCAATGGTCTATAAACTATTAACACTACCTGTTGGGTGAGCATTCAAAGCATTTTTCACAGTCACTTATTTATATTTAGTAATAAATATGTCAAAAGCATTTTCTCCAGAAATGCCATAAGGACATATATGCAACCTACAACCTTTATTTAACTTTACATGAGTTTAAAGGCTCTACACAGTATAAGTAATATCTTGAGGTGTTTCTTCGTCTACGAACAGTTCGATTAAATCGCAGATTTCAGAATTGGGGTTAATGAACTTGTGTTGTAGTGATTTTTATCTTGAAAGTGGAAAAAAGCTTTAGCATTGTTTTTTATCCTTAGGCCTCTGTGCGCTTCAGGCATGGATAAGCTGGAACTTCAGGACTGCCTGGAGCATGGGCGACTGGCGAAGGTAACGATTTTCGTTCTTAGACATTTCAAAGGCAGGTCTTTATTATAACAGGCGCATAGCTGTTACTATGCAAATATATAAAAATACGCAAGTTAAAATGCTCATCCTAATTTGTTCCCGGACATCTGGTATCACCTCACGAGGATGATCTGTCGGAGTTGCATGTTCTGACACGACATAAGCAGATTAGCCATGTGGGTGATTGTTTCCATTCTGAAACGACAGCCCTGGGTGTTTTGAGTACTGTATGCCCCTGCAGTCAGGAGGTCATTAACGTCCAGGACTGCTACAGAAGCACACCTGCTATTATCAACAGCGAAACCGATATTAATGATTAGCTTGAATGTACAGCTATTCCTGTTTTGTTCTCAGATAATTTGCCTCACGCACGAATAGAATAACATGCTTTACGTTTGTTTTTCTTAATTATGCCTCTGGACCTGATAAAAATGTACAGGCAAATTGCCAACTGTATAGAGGATACGTGTTTGAATGGGCAGATTTCCCAGAAATTTGTCCCCAATGCAGTTTTTTTTGCAAGCTATCATAAACCACTCTGTAGTTCTGGCAGTAGTTCAGAGAAACTGAGGGAAAGAAAGATCGGAAATGATAGTTTTTAACCAAACTACCACTGTGCTTTATTATGTATTATACAAGGAAATAGTTAACAGCCAAAGGGAATCCCCTACAGATCACTAGATATATTTAACTTGGAAACACTGTGTTGTGTAAATATTTTATGATTAATATTTATAGTGTTTATTTTTGTCATTTTGCAAATTTCACATTCAGTTGTCTTTTAACTATTCATTCAAAATGTGTTATCCAAAACAAATTTTCCTAATTGACATGCCTTGCTGACGCATTTTTTTTTACGAAAGTAGATTGCTTAAAAAACAGTTAAATTAATTCACACCAAAACTATTGGATTCATTTAAATAATTTGTGTAATTGAAATTATTTGAAAACAGTTACTGTACAAATATCCTAAGGGAATTGTTTTAAAACCAGCACATATAACCCAGAACAGTGATTCCCCACCAGTGGTGCGCACTTATCGTCCAGGGTGTTGTGATGTTAATAGGGATACCCACATTTGAGCCACAGACAACTCCTCTACCACTGAGGTGCACGTGCATGATTGGAATATAGAGTCAGCCTCCAACTATTATTATGGTACTGATTTAAATATTTGTGTCTTCTGTTAACTGCATTGAAAATTCTGTAAGTCTTTGGTAATGCCAATGAAGTTATTTGAATTTGTAAAAAAATTAGTAACATTTGTGACTATTTTTAACTTTGAAATGGAAAATAAATCCTTATAGTTATTTAGGAAAAAACACCTGTTTTGATTAAACAAGTTTATCATGGTTAAGAAATAGTAATTCCCATAATTATAGTGGCGGTTCACACATTTGTTCTCAGCACTGTATACAGTAACACGCATAATGCAAACTGGATGAGGAATGCGATTTTGCTTCAGCAGTTTATTGAAAAACTATGTGGTTTCCCCCTTGTTGAGCCAAAGACAAAGAAGCTGAAGAAAAATGTTACTCTGCATGTGACTGTCTTGCTTGGAAGTTATTAAACTAAATTAAAAATGGATCTTTACCAAATGGCACTGTCACTGAGTTGATGATATGGCTGTGGATATCGTCTCTTATGTCACTGAGATACTTAAGGTAGCAAACAAAAATCACCCGTCATCCTGAAAAATTGTATCAATAAGTATCAATTTTTTTACTTTGAAAATTCTGCATTCTGATTCTGAAACAGTTTACAATTTAGTTAAATCCATTCAGTGTTAATCCTGGTTGTATTCTTTTCTGATTGACAATACCATGGAGCTGTCTTATACAGCCTCACATAGATATTTAGCATGATTATGTGATTTTTCTTTCACTGGAGGTGATAAAACCGACATTGCGACACTGTGAGTGTTGACGACAAGACTTGTGCAAATGTGAGAAAGATAAAAATGAACGTTTTTTTATCAAGTGCCATAGCTGTTTGTCCTTGAAGGTGTTTGTTGTTTTTCTGCAGTTTGGGAAGGTACGCACCATCACCACACGGTCTAACTCCATTAAGCAAGGGAAAGACCAGCACTTTCCTGTGATAATGAACGGCAAGGAGGACATTCTGTGGTGCACAGAGCTGGAGAGGTAAGTGCTTTCACTGTAGGCATTAGTCATCAAGACACAATCAGGGACAGATTTTGTGAGTCTCCTTACTGTGGTAAACTACTGTGTAGCTAAAACCTAAGTTACATGGTGTAGGCATGGACACATTTTAATAACTGAATTTTGAAAATCATTTCAATTTATATTGGAAAAATACAATTTATATTATAGTGTATTTTTACAAGCTTGGTAACTGTTAGTGATAAAATTCTGTTTTGTGTAGTTATTATGTGAAAACTAGACTTTTAATCAAAAAGGGGAATTTTGTATTTAATTCCCAGTATTTTCTGTTATGTGCTTACAACTTCAAATTGTCTAACTTATTTGGAGTGCCGTAACTAGTGGAGTACTGCAGGGATCTGTACTAGGACTACTGTTCTTTTGAATGTATATCAATGTTCTTGATTCTGGTATACAGTATTAGTAAACTAGTCAAGATAGCAGATAATACAAAATTAGGAGGATTGGGAAACACTGAGATTCAAAAAGGCTGAGATAAACTTCAAGACTTGGCAAACACCCAACATTTAATGGAGATAAGTGCAGGGTGTTGCATGCAGGTAGCAAAAACAAAAACTAAATACAAAGTGGGAAACACTGAGATACAAGATGCAACATAAAAAAGACTTAGGTGTTTATGTTCACTCATCATTTACGTTTTCTAGACATTGTGAGGAAGTGATTAAACAGGTGAAAAATGTTAGAATTTATATCGATGGGTGTGCGGAATTGGAGAAGATTATGAGGGGAACTCAGTCAGGTATTCAAAGACCCCCCATGGTATCCCCCATGGTGTTCTGAATCCAAGCAGTTTTGCAGGATGTTTTATAATAAGTACAGCTCTGGTCACCGTCTATCATTACCAGAAGTGGGTGTTTAGAAGTGATCACTTCATATGCATTAGACACATGGCACAATGGCTGTTTCTGATAAGGTTAACCCTGCCTTTCAGCTACTCCTGAAATGTCACATTCCCAGGCCAGGTCAGGAATGATCTCGGGTCGGGATCTGCACCAGATAGTAAAGCCCTGGTTGATGCTCAACATATGGTGCACATTTGGTGATGGAGAGAACTAAAATGTTTCTTTAAAAATAAGCTTGCATTCTGAAATAATCCTTTTTACAGCTGATAAATCTCTCCAACTCTAGAGCCATTTATCTAAACACAATACTATAGAGACCTCTAAAGTAGGTACTTGATGGGAGACTAACCGCTCTCTTTTATAGTTATGTCTGATAAACAGGGCCTAATCTATCAGAATTCTTAGGAATTCTTGACTAGTTTGTGCGCTGCCAAGTCAATCTCAGTAATATTCAGCTGACAGCATAGCCTGTCTATGAGCAGGCAAGGTCTGGACCACGAGGCTGGACTTTATAGCGAGCGCCCTTTCTGGCGGAGACACTTTCAGATCGCCTGATTTTGCATGTTTATTCAGTCTGTGGTTTGAACAAAGATAGCCTTTCCGGTCTGAATTCCTAAAGTTGGCGTTGTTCTGTTTTTTTTTTCAGGATTTTCGGGTTCCCAGTGCACTACACTGACGTGTCCAACATGGGTCGGGTCGCCAGACAGAAGCTGCTGGGTCGGTCTTGGAGTGTCCCCGTAATTCGACACCTCTTTGCCCCACTCAAGGACTACTTTGCCTGTGAATAGCTATGAGAGAATTTGTGTGTGTCCCATTCACAGAAATCCACAAAGCTCAGATACCATAGCACCTCTGTATGAGGCTGCAGCTTTCACCACAGGTAAATCGTTACCACTGAGCTCCATCCGGGTGTTAAAGTTAATGGAGAAGTTTTTAGGCTGGATGTATGATATATTACCAGTAGCAGTACTGTAGATCTAACACATCTTGGTCTTAGCACTTTGAATGCTTAAAAAAGCTTTAACTTTCAGTTCATTTTTTTCACACAAGATATTGAGAAGGATGAAAAGGCTTTTCAATGCTTTTTTATCAGATATTTTATATTTTGTCCACTCCAAGAAAGTCATTTTGATTTTTATCCACCAACTAAACATTAGGTGAAGAATGTTGTTTTTTTCCTCTCTTTTATGTGAAGCCAGAATATTTTTTATGTGACAAAAATATTACATTAACAGAGTTTTGCATTAAGGCTAAATTTGTGTGAATTGGGTTACAATGAAGCATTTTAAATATATATTAACAGATTACTTTTTAATTTAAAATAACATAATATCTGCAAACAGAAATCACTACCAACTTGGCACATGTGGACTAATTGAGTAGAACATCAGCTGCCTGGTGCTTAGAACTGTTACAAAACTGTTGACTTAAATTCCGATCTTCAATTTAAAAATAAGAAAGTGCAAAAGTTAATGTGTTAAATTCATCTTAAGGAGAAAAAAAGATTTCGCCATTACATTGTTTTTCATTGATCATTTTTAACCTAAAGGTCTATATTTGAGGGGATTACAAATGCATGTGCCCCAGTTGTGAAGAGCACTCATTTTTGTGAGATGTAGCATGGCTAATAGAGAACAAAAAATCACTAACTTTAGGAAGACGGCACCATGTCTGTGATTCAATAATCATGTCATGGTATTTCTTCCCAAAGTCTTTCTTTAATTGTTCTTTGAGAAAATATTTGCATTTAACACTATTGTTTAAAGAATACTGGACCTAAAGAGAAATTGTAAGCATGGGTGTCTGACAAGAAGGACTTGTATACAGTATGTGCAAAGTGTTAACAGCACATTAAAAGTAATCCTGATATTTTCAGGCACCCTTTTTGTTAACATCATCTAAAATATATACAGATGTAAAAAAAAATGTTTTTGCATAGCTCATTGTTAAGGCAATTGTCATAGAATCTGAAAATTCTAAAATGACATCACCTGCCTTTTTGTAAATACAGTGCCTTCCAACATTGATGCACAGAACACCTAATACAGTCATGAAGATAGCTAGCTGGTCCGGGCACAGAATTCTGGTAGGCTGGATGCTTGGAAGCAGTGGAAGTTGCGTACTAAGTTTTATTGACTATTCTCCTCAGTAAAACTCCTGTGGAATAGCCACAAAAGGTGGCAACTAACCTGAACATGTACAGTATACCAGTCAAGCCTAGATAAGTGATAGCTGTTATGACAAATAACAAATATAACCAAAAAAGAGCATTATTACCTCCATTTTTCACAGTAAACAGGGAAAGAAACTTTCACTTGTAGCATCTTTAATAAAAAACGTAAGAATTCTGCTTTTCGACAAAGCGAAAAACATTTTTTTTCTTCATTCTAATATTACCTTGTTGCCTGTTTTTAAGTTAAGATCTTTCAGTCAGGGGGATATTTTAAAAGAGACGTACTGTATTTTAATTAAAAAAATGTTTACAAATTAAAATTTCCCTCTTAACTAAGAAAAAGATTTTGGGGATACAGTATACAGTCATCTTGAATTACATTGCTCTCTAATGCTTAGAGGCAGGTTATTATTTTTTTAAATTGAAGTAAAGCATATAAAAATTTACCATTTATTTTTTATACTTTACCTGTATTTTCTAACCAACTGTGTCTGTACTGTATATCTATCAATATAAAAGTACTGTATATGTTTTTAGAAAAGAAAAATAAGAGTTGTCCAGTTGTAACTTCTTTAAATGTAAAATATTTGGTTTAAAGATGAGCTATTTTTGAAAATATATATTTACAGTTTCTGGAGTGAACACATAGCAAAAACAAAAAAAATACATTTGGCTGTCAAAAGAAAACAATGTCTTTGAAAGATAAATCAAAAATTTAATGGATGAATCCTTAGTTTTGTGTTTTTCAACAAAATCATATGCAAATTTTGGAAACTGGAATGAATGCTGTACCTAATGGCTTTGTAGAGCAGGCTCTCAATTTAAGTCTGAACTGGATGTCCTCTTAATTTTCTTTCTTCTAAAGGCAATTAGTAGCTTTTCTAATAGGTTTTTGGGTGATTCATTCCTGTTGGTGCTACTTTCTTATATACCCATAATTTTTAGTTCCTCTTTTAAACGTTTTATACATAAACCTGTATTTTATGTTGTAGACAACTCAGTTGAATTTATAGTGCTGTTCTTTCTTATGTTAATAGTACATTTTACTATAGCGTAGACTAAACCAGTATTTCTGTTTTTTTATATACAGTATATATAATACTATTTTGTGTATTTTAACCATTTGAAAATCGCAGCTGAATGTATACTACTTTTGTTTAGTTTCAGAAAAAGGATACTTTTCTCCCACTGTCCTGTTTTTGCATTTTAAATACTGGATTTGATATTAACCAGTCTAGTTTTATTCTAAGAATAAAAAAAATACTGAAACACAGGTTAAACCCGTAAGCACATGTGCTCGGGGTTGTTTTATTATTTTTGACTTTTATAAAAGGTTTTTACAAGTTTTCACTTGACGTGGGGTAATTGACACTATGCTCAGGTGCTATGTTTTGTCCGTCATTCCATGCTGCAACAATAAAGCTGATTTTGACTTGATTCATAACTTCTTGTCTCTTGTTTTTATTGGGTTGGTCATGAAGTTTATTGTGCACATTCAAATTTACCTTGGTTTTGCGTTTCCACGTTGCTGTTGATCCAAGATTTTCTTCCCTCTGGACCAGACTTGCTGCTCAGCCTTGAACACTTCTAGTCCAATCCATTGCAAAGTTCCTCTCCAGCCACTTTTGTATTGACAATCAAAAGGATTGACAACCACTTACAGCACTGCTTGGAGCACAAGTGAGTCTCTAGACTTTCTCAAAATAAAAAGGGTAATACAAACGGGGAAACTACACAAAGAGTTGTGGGAGTCTGTAACCACCTACCAAGAAATGTTGGTTGAGATTCTCAGAGCAGCTTTATTAGCTTCTCGCAATTGAAACCTTTCTTCTATCAGCCTGGACTGCTCTGCTGTGTTTTGCTACTATCTGCCCTCTCTGCCTCGCCAAATATCTGAAACTGACTTCTCTCTGCCCATCCATCCTGCGTGCATCCAGTTTAAGGTCCTTGTCTTTACCTACAGCCCTCTGCTGTCTTCAGCCTCAGCCTGTGTCTCTTGCTCAGACCACAGCTGCTCGTTTTGTCTCCTCACTGCACTGCCTTCCCCAGCCATTGCTCGTCTGTGTGACCAGCTATGCACCCTCTTCAGCGCCACCTACCTGTTGAGACTCTTCTTTTTAGATGCTACTGAAATGGTGGCCAGCCTAGCCAACTCCATTGGACAATTGCGCCCTGACCAGCTGTTCACTTCTACAACTGATAATGAAATAGGATACATATAACAACCAATGTTGCTGGTTACACCAAAGCACAGTGTACTGCGGAATAGTGGGGAAGTGTTCTCCACTTATACCTGGAAGGTTGTTGCTTCAGATGCCAAGAAAGACACTGTTGCACCCTTGAGCGAGGTACTTCACCTGTACTGTTCCAACAAAATAGCCAGTGGAATAAATGAGTACAAATATATGTTGCATTGCATACAAATGGCTGACAAATTAGTCATTAAAAATAATTGCTGGAATAGATTGGAGGGGTTGCATACAGTCCTATCTCGCCTGCTTTGCTTCCATGGTTTCACAGTTGACGTGCAGTTTTAAAAAAATATTTTCCGATTTCATTGATCACTCTGTGGGTGCCTCAGTAAACAGGGAGATAAAAACAAGATAGGTTAATTAAAAATTAGCTTTCATTTTCCAAATGGTTGGTGTACGGACAGCTGGTTTTAAGGCTCCTTTGTTTTATAGCAATGTAACGTTTTGAAACGTTCTGAATTCTTTAATAAACTGTCATTATCCGTGTGTTTGTATTTACAGGGGTCTTATGCGCAAACATGAAGAGATGATCTTTGTGCCTTGTGTCTTTGTGTTTCCGGCAAGCCCCTGGTGTAGAATACAGCGTGAGGGCACGCCTGCCCTCTGAAGACACAGGTGTGGATGCCTGTGTTAGATCCTCAGGTGAAGTCGAGTCTACTGCAGACTGCAATGTACTGACCCGGACGTTTGCTTGTCCTGCTCCATGAAGTTGCCCACCCGCCATTCGAACAGCACAAACGACGAAACGAAGATATAGCGCCTTGGTTTTTTTTTTTCGGGTAATCACGTGACTATATACAAGGAAGTTTACAGGTTCCACCAAAGTCGGTACTTGAACTCCTGATTGTGATGAAAACAATGCTGGCAATTTGTTTTCCGAGTCGGTCTGATCGTACAAAACAGCAAAGTCACGACCACCAGCTCTTTCAGTTGTGATCTTTTGATCAGTTGACCCCAGACTTTGCAGCCTTTACACGAAATTACAATGTTAACAGAGAAATTACTATGTTAGTTTACTGGGTTAGGTGTTTTCTGTTAATTTTTAACAATGTTCTCGAAAATGTATTGCCTGTGTATCCCTTTGATTGGTGAAGAGACACCAGTTTCCAAATTACCGCTGGTACAACACGAGAGCCCACATTCACATTTTTAGGTATTAGTTTCAAGATCGATATAATTTAACAATAAAAAAACAAAATTGAAAACACGAGCATAATAATATAATGATCATAGACTTTACATTTCTATTCATTTTTGAAGTACGAAGCAGAAGGTATTTCCCCTACCTTAAATGTACGATTAAAATTGTTCAAATACCATGTATTCATTACAGAAAGTAGCGGAGACAGTTATAATGCAAATAAAAAAATGTATTTATTTTATTTATAAGAGTATAGGACATTGTGAATCAATAAAGCCATTAAAAAAATAAGCCGATGTAGTTATTTTGCAAATAAGAAAACCATTTTAAAAATAGATTCTCATTGATAGTAAACAAGCCGATCCACCTGGCGCTGCTGGCTTGAACAGCTCTCAGCCCCGTGATTGGCTAAACCCTCGAACAGGTCGGGCCGCGATTGGGTGAAGAGTGAGAATCGACACTCTGATTGGGCAAAGCGCCACAGCGGAAGTTCCAGAACATGTAGATACACAGATGATGGATGTTCTTCTTGGTCTAAATACTGTAGCCCCGGTTAACCGTGTGTGCTGTATGAGCATGCTGGATATACAGTAACACATCCATTGGTTTCAAATTACTAATCAAAGAGAAGTCGCACTGAGGTCAAAACTGAATAGCAGACAAAGAATGTCACGGCATCCACATCGCTTTCAGGACTCCGATAGCATGTCACGATAGGAGTGCGCGCATCACGATCCCATTGCGACTGGCGCATCACTCATTGCGCCACTGTCGCGACATTAAGTCCATATATCGCGATATGACATAATCCGCAAAAAAATTGCCCGCCCCATGTCGCGACATGGAGTACCATATATCGCGATATGAAAAAAAACCTCACACCCATGTCGCGACATTAAGTCCATATATCGCGATATGACAAAAACTGTCACACCCATGTCGCGACATGGAGTCCATATATCGCGATATGACAAAAACCTGTCACACCCATGTCGCGACATGAAGCCCATATATCGCGATATGACATACCCCCGACAAAATGCCCCGTCCACATGTCGCGACATGGAGTCCATATGTTGCGATAGGACATACCCTGACAGAATATGCTGACCCCATGTCGTGACATAAAGCCCATATATCGCAACATGTCCTATCTGGGTAAATCATGTCCTGATATAAGACCTTTGTTGCGACAGCGGTGCCAAGGTGGCATGGAAGCAAGGCGCCAGTTGTGATATACAATGCCGCGATGTACATGCAATCTGTATCATGACATGCTGCGGAGGTCTTGTCGCGATGGTATCCCACAGTTACGTGTTTGGCAGGGAAAGGAAAGGAAAAAGTGCCTTCGAAAATAAAAACCATAGATCTGACAATCACGGTGATTTTACATACATTACAACCACAGGTTTATGTCATAGATGGTTAACTTGTTGGCATGCATCATGTCTTAGTATTAATTCACATCTAAGGAGGGTTATATGTTTATGGATATTGATTGTCTTTAAAATGTAAAGGGTACGAGCTAAACTGTAACAGAGCGCTTGAACTCGGCAGACGGGGTCACTGGAGGTCAAAGTTACCGTCATGGTCACGTGATCACTGGAAAAACAAGGCGTTAAATCTCGGAAACGAAAGTAACACAAACGCTGCACTAACGAATAAGGGGGGTTTAATCGTTTGTGCTATCTGTGGGGGGGACTTCACGGAGCTTTTACCTTAACCTTTAAGTATTCAGCGGACTTGAGCAGAACATACCAGAAGAACGTGCACGCACGTGTGGGTTTCAGAGGTTGGAGCAAATACATCGCCCCAAGGGTAATATCGAGTGAGGCGCCATGAGAATAAAAACCGCGAAGGTATTAACATATTAAGTTCTGAAGATCTTGTTTGATCCTTCATGATGCGATTAAACTTGTATGAAACCCACGAAATTAGTATTCTATTTTCGATGCCAAAAAACACCTAATTTGGAAATTCGTGACTTCCCACAAGACTTAACACTGGATTGTTATAGTCGCATTACAATGCTAACCAATTCATCATACCTTTAATTGCAAGAATGGTCTGCTAATAAAAGTGTCAAATACAACGCCTCCCCTGTATGACATGAGCTGGAGTATATGTCCCGATTAACATTTTATTCGCAAAGAAATGTGGATAGAAATGCTTCACAACACAACACAGAAGACAGGCTGTTTCTTTAACAATGAGCTGGAGAACCGTTCCCGCTTTCTGATGTCTACCCCAGCCGTGCGCTCGCTAGACAGTGACTCTTTCGAGATTTTCAAAGCCTGGTTTGCCCTTTTAGGTCTTCTCTTTTGAAATTATTCTGGAAGCTGTTTTAAAGATCAAACACGATTTTAAGCGCCAGTGTAGTTCATACATCCCTTCTGTTTTAGCGTGATATTACCTGACGACCATGTTACAGTAGGCTATATGACGTTCATGGGTCTTAATAATTAAGGTAAAATAACCGTTACATGAAGCATTTCTTTAAAAAGTAAATGCATTGTAAAATCACATCTTAAATAAGTGCTCTTTTTCCATCAAGCTAATTTGTTGAAGAAATACGGTCACTGGTGAAACATTAAAAGACACCTATGTATATTAGTATATCCTGTGAAAAAGGATATACAATCAAAAATGTTGATCTTTAGGCCTATAATTATTGCTACATGTGTAGTAGTTTTTTTTATCCATCAATTGACACGTACGGTAGGAAGCATCTGGTGTGAATTCAGATGTAAAATTCAGACAGCCTATTCTATTGTGATAAATGCTTAGTGCGGCAGTGGTGATAAGTCGTGCCGAAATTCAAAATATGTAGAATACCCTATCGGGCAATTAAGTAAATGTACATTAAAGGGAGACCCTATACCATTCTTGAGCTGCACGGTCCTGATTTGCATGCAGTCTACATCCGGGTAGCGGCGGCGCTAGTGGAACGAGCCGCCACGTGGCTGACCTCCACGCGTGCGCCTCCTCAAGCCTTGTGCGCGAGACCAGCCCCGCCATGTTCATAACCCAACTGCCCGCCTGTGTGAAACTGTTCTCTTTTTTATTTTTTAAAAAATCTTTTTGATTTCTAAAAATCGTTTTGTTCGAATTATTAGAAAGTCTGAAAGACGGGCGCCTTCGCAAGTTCAAATGTAACACACACAATGCGCGTTCAATCGTTCGTGAACCGAATGAATAAGGTACCGGGCTCACACTGTGACTACACAAAAACTGGACGAAACAAAGTTACACATGTAATGGCGTAAGATGTGCTTCAACACCTGTTTAAGTAAATTATTAGCTAATGTGACATGATACGTAAACGTACTTTCTGTTAATTTTGTTGCAGTGTCCTGGGAACGCTTTTCCAACGAGCGGTTACTATCCAAACACCACTATGGGGTTTCCCAATCATTTCGAGTCCCAGGGCGTTGGTCTGTATTTTGTATTCCTGACAAAATTACTGACGTAACCGTCATGACAGTAGAGAAGAAAATACACTGTGGGACGTAACCGTTGAGCGTATACATACGGCTACCTGGAAAAAGGATGAGAAAACGGAGGTCAAAATTAAGGAAGCAAGCAATGCACGAAAATGAAGCATGCGTAGGCTGCAAAGGAACAAGTAATACGTTTATTCCATGCTGAAAAAAAAGAAGAAAGAGAACACAACATTTCGGCCGTGGAGCTTGACCTGAAGAAGGCTCCACGGCCGAAACGTTGTGTTCTCTTTCTTCTTCTTTTTTCAGCATGGAATAAACCTATTACTTGTTCCAACGAAGCGTTTATACGAGCTCATTTCAGCTCCTGAGATGGAGATCGTTCGTTGTCTTCGCGGGTAACCGTCGAAGCGGATCGGCGCCACCCCGTTAAGCAACAACGTTGCAGGCCAAGATGAGCAACGAGTGGCTCGTTCGTGAAGGGAAGAAAAATGCATTTTTTTTGTTGTCCCGAGAAGGGTTTTTTTCACGCCACGAATCTCTCAACGTCGGCTGCGGTTGCGTCTCGTCTCGTCTCGTCTCTAGGGGGCAGCGTCGACACCTTCAGGGTATCCGTGCGGAAAACGTGGCTTGGCTGAACAACACTGCCCGCCCAGATGCCGTGCAATGTGCGAGCCCCCCATTCTGCCCCCGGTGAAGCACAAAGATCTCGCAACGTAGCGTGACGTCACTCGGGGGGGGTACTATAGCAAACGAGGAATATTTCCTGACAGGGCTGTCGGCGGAGAGCGTAGTGGAGAGGTATGTACGTGACACAAGCTTCATATTTTAAATATAATATAGGTGTGAGCAATGGAAATACCGGGGCGGCTCACCTTCAGATCGCGTTTAAACCAGCGCCTCTCCACCGTGAGATGGCTTTGTGCAAAACAAAGGCACTGAAACAAAGAGCGCCGGTATTGTTCAAGAAAGGCGACAGAAAATGCTGCTGAATGCAAGTTTTTTTTTGGGGGGGGGGAGGGGGTTATATATTTGCTAAATGGGTGCGACACATGGGCTTTTAATTGTGCAAAATACACAGCACCACGGATTAAAAGCAGGGCGCTGCGATGGGGCTAGTAACGTGTGATGTGGCATCTTCAGAATGACTTTCAAATAATAATCGCGAATATAAAAGTTATCTTTTTTTTTTTTTAGTTCTGATCCGCCCGTCGCTGTACGAGTACGGAGTGTTTTACACTTTTTTATGAACGCGGACAGTGAAAACATGCTCCTCAGATGGGGGGGTTCATTAAAAAAAACCGTTTCTCACCAGACCATAGGCGATCTTATCCCCCTTCCCCCCACCCTCAAAGAGTCCAGATGATTTTGCTTTCCCTTATCCTGTATCGATCAATCGTCAGTGCATTTTCTTATTTTTAAAGCAACTTAATGGAAGCGGTGTAATATCACGTGTGTGTGTTTCTAGTCCTGCAGCGTACACTCTCGGGCTGCTCTGTAATCAGATTTCTGCTCTGTGTTACTCGGCTTTCGCGGGTATGGCTGCTAAGGTCTTATCTTCAAATGTAGTTTGGCGGCAAAAATCGAGCATGCGCTTATTTTTTTTTTTCCTCCTACAACAAAAAAGAAAAAAAAAACACCGGAGAGGGTGGGCGCTTCTGGTGTTTGACTTGATGAGGGTGACTCGAAAATCGGAGACCCGTCATTAAAAGAAACTGCTTGCGTCTGCGTGTACAGTTGCCTTCAGCGGTTATAACCGGTTGTTGTTGTTGTTGTTGTTGTTTTGTTGTTCAGTGATCTGACAGCCGAGGGACAGAAAAAATTAGGGCAAGGGGTAAGATACACCACGTTTCTCTTCGGGTGCTGCGGAATGGTTGCTGACAATAGATTCCTTCCGGCTACTTTGAAAAGCAGCCCAAAAGATGCTGGGTCAAACGAGTTCAATTTCGTGTTCATTTTCTTTGAAAGGGTTTATATTATTAGGTGCACAGCAAGTCCGTAAATCTGGTTCCCAGTGTAGTGTGTCATTCTTCATGCTGGTCGTTTGAAGAACAATAGATCACGTCTATCGCCCACATACAGCATCTCCCGGATTTGCCCAGATTAATGCCCGAAGTCTGCAGGCCGGCTCGTTGTCAGGGCAACCGGGACGCTGTTTGGACCGGGCGTCAAATAACGCCTCCCCGCTGGTCGTTTAAAAATGAACATTTCTAAGGGGATAATTATGTTGCAAACCCCCACGTGTTCCTTTTTTTTTGTTTTAATCCTGAGAGAAAGAGAACTACTGAATAGGCGAAGCTATAGAGCATGCTAGGTACAGTTACCTTGGTCTGGCTGTCAATGACGGGGGTGTTTGAGGATAATGTGCTTGCCAGATTGTAACATTTGGGGAATAATAAGTGAAACTAGCAATACATTTGTAATCAAACAGGTTAAACTAGCCGGCGTTTTAAGCCAGGCTGTCCAAAACGGTGAATCGGTCTTGAGCGTTAACGCAAAGGCGCAGGTCCTCCAGGCCGGTAGAGGGAGCTGGAGTGATGCGTTGAAAAAGCGCAGCGCCCTCCCATTGGTCTCCATACTACCGAGTGGGCCAATCACGGCGCACGGAATTCTTCTAAGTACCGTCGTGCGCCGAATGACGTACAGCGTCTCTGAAGACTCTCCCGTCCAGCACAGCGACCCCTGCGGCCTTCCAGGCGTGTGGGGAGCCTGTGCGTGAATGACGCGCCTCTCCTCCAATCAGGGCACGACCGTGTGCTGCGCGGCAACGAATTAAAAGACGAGTGGCTCGAAGGTGGGCGGGACTGTTTATACTGCCTCTTTCTTCTGGGTGGTTCTACCTGCGAGAGGAGTCGTGGAAAAAAGTTTTAAAAATTATTAACCTTATTTAGATTATTATATTGCGGATATGTTAAGGAAAACACTGAACGGCAGCGCAGTAACTAAGGAACACCCCTTTTCTTTCAGGAACAATACGTCCTGTTTTTATTTTATTAGGACAAATTGTTACAATACGTTATGTAATATGTCTGCGAACATTAAAATACATATTCAGAGCACATTTTGAAACATTATTTTCAAATTGTTCTTTTCTGGGGTGTCACGTCTTGTAGTATTTTTGCCGCATTTTCTTTGAATTCGGGCCAGACCCATTTTTGGAGATTGTGTAGCGAGTGTTTTTTTGTTTTTCTAAACTTCAATGTACTGTTAAAACTCCAAACATTTGGACTATTCAGATTTTGCAGTTCTTTAATATTGTAAGGTCAGTGAATGATGGAACACGTAATTTCACGCATTTTTTTTTCTTTTTTTTGTGGCGGTTTATTGAAGGTTATCCGAGCGTTTACATTGGACAAGTCACTGTAGATTCAATTAGTCTCTAGTTTCTTTGGAAGCTACTTGAGTTACCAACCAACTCCGTGGACTATGGAAGTAACTTGTTGTTCAAGTAGCGATAGGATGTACATGAATGAAAAACTGTTTTGCATATTTTCAAAATGTACCTGAATTGTTGGTTGCTTTTTCTATACAAATACTTTATTTTTCTTAGATGGTGGAAGGATGGAAGGATGAATAAGCCATCCAAGCAAATTCGGCCTACCTTTGGCTATGCATCAATAAGATGTGAAAACCGTATGTATTAGGCACTGTGAAATACCTTGTGATTTATTTTGTTGTTTTCTCATTTAGGTTAATAATTTTGTATGATTTCCTTCTGCTGTTTCTTGCAGTTTTGTAATTAAACCATGGTTTAGACAAATGTGATTTAAACTATTTTTTACCACCTTTTAGAAATCTACAGCAGTGTGACTTTCATTTGTTAGCATCTCCTTAAAGACACTGAATGGTGCCGTTGTTTCTGAACAGGAAACATATTTTTTTTTAGAAGGAGGTGTTAAAAGGCTTGAGATACATTTAGAGCAGCCTCACCCAACATGTGGCCCTCCCCATCCTCTTCACTGCACTGTTTTGATACAGCCAGCTCCTTAATTGCTATATTGATCCTGCTACTAACCAATTACACTATTAAGGAGATGGAGCAAATTATGCAATGAGGGGGATTGAAGGGGGTGCATGCTAAGCTCGGTGAATTAGAGGTCTGAATTCTCATTTGCAGAGTAAATTAACATAGTGTATTGCTCAAAGGATCTTAAAGTGCTGCACATATAGCAGGGCCCCTTTATCTGTCACTGAAAAAAAAACACTGACCTGGGTGATGCAAGTGCAGTTCTGCAAAACCAGCCCCACTACACAAATGAGGTGCAGAAGTGAGGAGTTGCTTCATCAGTTGGAGGGGATAGCTGAATTTCATGGAGCTGAAATTAGCTGTGATGTTTAGTTCAGTTACACGTACCTATGAATGATACCATGACATCTTTACTGACCACATCTAGTCAGGATTTCTGTTTATTTTTATCATCTGAAGGACAGGGTCATTGCATTGTAAATGATGGTCTGGGAAGAAAAGCATCACCTACTGGTCCAGAAACGCCACTTCCAGCAGCTGCCTGGTTTTCTTCAGAGCTCACCCATCCCACTCCTGACCAGATCTAGCCTGTCTAGCTTTTGAGATCTGACAAGATCAGGCTACATGGGGTTAATTCTGCGTTGTGCCTATTATACAAAGCTTGTTTCCATAAAATATATTCTGTAAAATCTTGCATTAAAATGAGCTAAAAGTAGAGAATATACTTTTACCACAAAAAAGTGCCTGCCACGCTCGTCAGCTTTTTAGATGTGGCATGTGAATATGCAGGTTACTTGGGGATGATATCGTAGACTATGTGGTTTCTTTCATGATGCCGTGTCGGGGTAATTCCACAGATCCAGTCCCTGGTCCATCAGAAGTAACAATTTGTGCAACATAGGGTTCAGAATATCCCAATTCCACTTTTGTCACCATGTACCAAAAGCCCCCTGGATTCCAGGTTGTAAATAGAATTGAAAGTCCTACAGGTAGCAAGCAGAGCTGTCACTTGGGTGATAAACTGTGTCTGTGGTGGCTGGAGTTTGTCACTTAAAATGCCGCTTTGTGCATGTGTGTTTTAAAGGCTGGGGAAGATGGCAGTGAATGTTCGTCTCACATCTGATGCCGGAGACAAATATGATCGCGTTGAGCTCTTGGCATGGCTCAACGATTCCCTCCAGACAAAATTCACAAAGGTCGAACAGATCTGCTCAGGTAAAGGCGGCACATCATTTCTGATTTTTACATTTGTCCATTTAGTTTCTTATTCACTTTTCAGGGCTGAGGCCAATATTTGATCAAAGTTAACAAACATGCTACCTATTTGTTATCTGTGGAACAAGTCTAATAATATTTTAAGCTAGCGCATGTGCAAATTCCATGAAGCAGTGGTGGTAGAAATGCTTTTAAAATGTATACAGAAAGAAGATTCTTGATTACTATAATCAAATATTATCATATTTACATATTTTTATGATCTGCAGGTGCTGCCTACTGCCAGCTCATGGACTGGCTTTTTCCAGGCTCTATGGATTTAAACAAAATCAAGTTTCAGGCCCAGGAGGAATTGGAGTTCATCCACAATTACAATCTTCTACAAAAAAGCTTCAGGAAAACTGGTGTGACCAAAGTATGTTTTGTTGTGTTTTGAGATAGCAAACGATTCTGTGTTTTCTCCGTAATAATTTTAAGGTTTGAAAATGAATATTACATGATATAGGGTGTATAAACATAACAGGATAATCATGGGATATTCTGTTTATCAATAAATTCTGGAGGCTTTGCTCAGTTTTTCTACAAATTCCAACAACATACATATATTTTAGAGTATAATTATTCCTTACACTCTTAATAAGCACCAGTCATTGAAATTTCAAACTAAAGTGTGTAACATGACTGTAATTGTTTTTCTTTTACCCTTATTTTTACCACAGGTAATTCCTGTGGATGAGCTAGTGAAGGGAGCCTTTCAAATCAATTTCCAGTTTTTGAAGTGGTTCAAGAAATTCTTTGATGCCAATTTCTATGGACAAATTTACAACGCGTTAACAGCCCGAGAAGGTCAGATTGTACTGCCAGTGACGGAGAAGCCTGTATCTCCGCCAAACACAAAGTCCCCCAACAGTTTCACCCATGCAGGTAAGGGGCTACATTCATCTTGTCCTGCAAAGAGGCAGGACAATTGAATTCTAACGTCTTCACTCTAGTAGTTAATATTAGGTATTGGCACCTTTTATGGAACAAATGTAAGTTGTCCTGATCTCATAAGAACATAAGAAAAGGTAAAACAAGGAAAGACTGTTTGGTTGTTGGTAGCCTATAAGGCTCATTCAGCTGTTCTTCAAAAGATCTCAAGTAAGTAACTCGGTAGTCTGTTGCAGTCATCCTCCACATGCAAATAAAGACCTCATGTTTTCATGAGTAAAAAAATCCTTACAATTACTGTCTGTCAGAAGGTCCTAGTTTCTCTTTTAATGCCAGAGTCATCGCAACATGGGCAAACATGAAGAACCCCAGAAGGGACCGGACACGCAGTTGTTACAAGCTGTGTATTTTCAAGATGTGCCTTACATTTTTAGATGGAAAACTTTTCTTTAAGCACCTGGTATTTTATTCTTTTTAAATTCAGATGAACACTGTTGTTGAGGAATTTTGTTACTAATGTTTTTTTTTTTTAATTTGCTAGGTGGAAAAGAAAAAGTTGATTGTGACTTCGATGAGGAGTTACATGATCCAAAAACTAAACGGATAACTTTCCTCACACACTGGCAAGAGACCTTTAGCTGGGTTCGTCAGAGTAAGCTCGGAGATATTTATGCCTATTGTGAAGTCTGTGACCTCAATATCACAATTCACCATAGAGGGCAGGTGGATTTGAAACGGCACCAGAATTCAAAAAGACATTGCGAAAACCTGAAAAAAAGGAAATGCTTGACAAATAAGACGAAAGATAACGAGGACGTGTGCGGAGGGGACTCCACTACCTGTGGCGTCGCAACCCTGAAGTTCATTAAGAAGTACTGCACCAGTCTGAAAAGCTTCACCAAAGTACGTGACGGATCCAGAGTTTCCAATTGTAGAGCAAGATATATCCTGGGACTGAAACATCCAAAAGACATCGCCTCCATTTGTAGCCAGACCCCGTACTGTATTTATCTGCACCGTAACGTAGACGTGGGAGATGGTGAACAGGCGGATGTGGTGCTCGTGGGGTTCTTCGACGAGAAGGCCGGTCAAAACAGGATCAGACTCCTTGACGTCGTGCGGCCCAAAACGGAGACGGTTGCCTCCGTGTCCTCTTGCCTCGTGGAAACGCTGCAGAAATCTGGGCTCCCGGTTCTCAACCTCTCTGGTTTCCACACGGATTGTCCCCCAGAAGAGGGGGCTGCGGTCCTCTCCAGGCTAAAGGAGATGAACCCTAACGTTATTTGCGTTGGGAGCCTCTCCCACCTGGCCAGCCTCGCCTGCAGGGCTGGAGTGGCAGCTTCCTCGAAAGACGTCAGTCAGTTAATTTCCAACATTCACAGCCATTATTCCTCCTGCTCAACAGCCAACGATAACCTGAAGGAACTGTTTGCGAACATCGAGCCTTACCAAGCAGATTTGCCCACATCAACGCAGTGCCTTGCGTTCACTAATATCGTAAAGAAAATAAGTGACATTTGGCCTGACCTAATTTCATATTTTCAGTCCTGTGACCATAAGAGTGAGAAAGTAAAGCTAATCTGTGGACAGCTAGGAGACCACCAGCTGAGGGCGACGTTCCTCTTTCTGAGCCATGCCCTCGAACCCCTGTGTGCTTTCCAGAGCAAACTGGAAAAACAAAATGGTGACCTGGCCAAGCTCCTGAAGGAAGCCAGCGGCCTCCTGAGATCATACGCTGCCAGTCTTCTTCTTCCAGAGGCCGTGGTTAAATTGTTGAAGGGCCATGACTCCAAAGTCTTGGAAAATGAGAAAAACTATCTTCCAGGAACGGAGCTGAACGTCGGCGCAGAGGTGGAGGAGTACTTGACAAAAAACCAGCAGGGCCTGGGGACTGTCTGGGGCGATTTCTTCAAGGATGTCTCTTTGTTCTACGCCTCCGTGACCGCACAGATTATGCAGAATCTCCCCCTGAATGACACGCTACTCAGAAACATTTCCATTCTTTTAAATCCCTCCTGCAAACTGAAGATCACAGGCAAAGTGGTAGCAGATCTTGCCACACACCTGGGCCTCTGTAAAAGACCTGAAGAAACCACTCAGCTGATTGATGAATTTCTGGAGTATCAGCTCTTGGAAAATGATGAAGCCCAGGTGCTGCCTCCATCCCCCCTGCAGCACTGGAGTGCTGTCTTAAAGACAGCCTTATCTGGAACTAATGAGCAGATGTCCATTTTCCGAAAACTAATCTTGACCTTGCTGTCATTACCATACCCCAGCATGGAAGCAACAAAGGCTTTCAGTCAGGTATGAAACAAGTTCGTGGGGTTTCATTATGCAGCTTTTTCTGGTCTTATTATTAACCCGAATTGGCCTTTCATTTAATTTACACACTTGGATTTGCTCTGTGTGCAACAATCATATAACTGAATTCTAACAAATGCAATGCTAGGTTAAAGGATAATACTGATTTTTGAGCAACACTGTAAAAGTTTGCCAACTCTGTGCTGCAAGCCAGTGCAATCAATAAGCAAAGGGCTATCATTTGTCTTAATGAAATGTATAAAGTATAACTTTAGGTCAGGTAAGATTAAAAGCTAATGGTTTTAACACCGAAACAAATGACCGTCAATCTTCTTTCACATAGTCTTATAGTCTTTATAACTGAAAAGACTAAAATAACCTTGTAAACATCCCTTTTCCTGTTAGACATCTTAATTCTGAACCTCAGTTTAAAGCTCGGGTTTAATCATGCAGCTCTTCTGTCAAGCATCTGGACTGTAACATCACAGTAGTCGCAGGTTTCTGAAACCTTCATACCGTGTAAATCAAAGTGGAGCTGGCCGTGCATCTGTGGCTTCTTTTGCAAGAAATTAAGTCTTTCGCAAGATATTGATAATTTTAAACAGATGTCTGATATTTTTCTTCTTTCTTACCTTTTCATGGAAATAATAACATTTTACGTTCCCACAAGGGTAAGCACATAAAACATGTAATTCAGTGGTTTGGCATCCATGCAGGAAGCGTGCCCTTAGAGATGTTTTTGGATTTAGGCATTCTCTGTTCTCCTCCTTGATCTCCATTATACTCTGAAACTTTTCATTTTATTCGCACCTGTTTGTACAATTATTTTGCATTCTGATTCTTATTTCAACTGTGAACCTTCCCCCCTCCCCACTTAGGCGTTTGAGAACGGGGATGTCTCTCTCCTTGATGAGACGGTGACCGAGAATGAGCTGGATGACACCAGGGACTCAGACTTGACCGCAGGGAATGAGGATGTCATCTTAGTGGAAGATGGCCATCTGTCTCCAGAGACCACAAAGCATCCTAAGCACTGCAACAGCTCTGCAGGCAAGCCTTAATTCCAGTTTTCTCAGATTTTTTTCCCTAAGGTCCCATCGGCAATATATAAGTGATCTTGGAAACCATCCCCAAAAAGGTTATAATTTAGTCCAGCCTAGTAAACCCAGACTAGTTGGTTGGGAATAATACATAAACAAATAATTGAAATGTTTCAGTTACATTATCTAGCTGCACAGTGAGTAGTGGGACTTAATTTGTTACTATCCCATCATGCACTTTTTCAAATATGCAAACATGGAGGCTGTCCCCACATAAAATCCCAGGCTTGTCTGCATGAATATCATGACCTGGGAATCCAACACTTTCTCGTTTAAATGCAAGGGTCTCTGGATTGTTTTTTAAAATGGGAATTTAATATGAATACAATCAAAGTGAAGTGAAACCTAATAGAACAAAGTAAAAAAAGTAATTAAAAAATTATCAGATGTTTAGATGCCGTAGCTCTGTGTATGAGTACTTGCAAAGTCCAGGCTCCACACATAAGTGAGCATTTTGGGATGTCACAGTGTACACAAAAAATACAGGTTTGCATGCATCCGGTTTTCCTGATGTAGACTTGAATACCACTGTGAATGCTCTGTAGTGTGGATGCAAACTGTATTTAGTACTTTTAAGATGGATTAAATGTGTAGATGGAGCCAAGGACATGAGATGACATCTGTCACTTACTGTGCTGAGAAACTGGAGTTGAGGGTTTGCGGAGTTCACAAAGTATTTTTGGTTAAGTGCTGCCTTTACAGCATTTCAGAAGTGACCCCATTAAATTAAACTTTTCTTGGCAGTAGATAAGGAAATGATAACTTTAAACAGTACCGGAAAAAGATGTTTAGCTTCATTTTACTGCCCCCCCACCCACAAAGTCCAGGTTTTAATGAATTAAAATCATGACTTTTGATCGGAGCCCGAAATTAAAATCCTAACCTGGAATTATTTTCTTCAAACCGCATACATTTTGGTGCTTCTGAGTGGCTCAGCCAAGTAAGCGCCTTTGGGCTGAACTCGAACACTGGCGGGTGGAGCCTGGGTCATGTCACTAGCCGACTGTGACTGGGATTCTCCAAGCAGTGGAGCTCTCTGCCACTGAGGGGAGGTTGGGTTTCATCTCGCAGAGCTCTTCAGGCCTCCTAGCAGTGCAGCAGGGCAGCGACATGCCTCTTCTCCTGCATTGGACTGCGTTGCCTGGGATGTGATCAAAGACAAGTGGCTCAAAGGAGGAAGTTACAGGAATCTGCCTATACATTCCTCATTTCTCCCCGTGCACAGTTACAGGGTTTGTAGTTGAGGCGAAACACCAAATCTGGCGTTGCCAGATCGGGTGACTATGTCACGGGGAAAAAAGAACTTAATGAACTCAAGCAATTTTCTCAGCCCAAAGACGGTAAACAAGACTGTTGATGTAAATTGTTCCTCCCTGTGCACAGTGCACAAAAAGTGTCTGTGTTTTGATTTTAATCTTGCCACGTTTTTATGCATGCAGGAGGACACAGCTGACATCTGCTGAAATGCTGTACAAGGCATAGAAGGTGGTTGGTTTTTCTCTGTGTTGAGTGACTGGTCAGGCAGGGTGAGAACTGATGCTCAGTTCTTGAATCAATTGGCCACTTTCCTTTGCCAACTCCCCTGCCACCGTAGGCTCACTGCATCCAAGGTTATGTTGCACCTAGTGGCTGAATAAGGAAGATGCCTCCTCCAAGATGAAAAAGATGCAAAGTGTGCAGTCAAACAGAACAGAAAGAGACCTAATGGCCACTTGCTAAGTTTGAAGTTAAAAGCATATTAGCCATTGTCTTTTTTCAATTCTGTTTGTGTTTTGCAGATGTGATTGATCTTACCCAGATGAAACCCTGTGCTGTGCTGTTGAAAAAGATCAACTGTAAGGGAGGAATCAGAAATCCCAACATTCATTCTCTAAATTCTTAGTTTACTGCAGTGGCTTGTCTAGAAAGAAAGGTGGAAAGGGCACGTCCCAGATAATCTTCGGATATATTCAAATATATTCGAAAACCTACATAAGGTTTAGTGTAGTATATTTAGTGGTGGAAATGGGCCAGAATGACCCAGAATGCTGTGGTAGGCGTGACAGTTTAAATGGGATTGCATTACATTCATAGAAAAGTTCTACAATCTCTCCTTGGCTCCACCACTGCCTTGGCCAGAATGGCCCCTGTAATCAGCCAGCCAATGGGAGATGGAGATGGTGCAGTCACCTGAACCATAGTAGAGGTTTGTTGTGCACAGTGAGCTGAATTTACCATCAGGGAGGACTAATTATTTTTCAACTGTTAACTGTTATGCATTGAGATGGATGACATCATCTGTTAAAGAAATAATAATACTAACCAGACCTAAGATCAAGACTAAGGCACTGAGGTGAAGCTGCAGGATCCGATTGTGATGGTGATAAACTGATGTTTGTGTGTCCATGCACGACTGCTATAGCGCTCTGCGGTGAACATTCTGGGTTTTCCCATTCAACACTTGCTTCCTTTTTCTGTAAAGAACACAAATGAAAGAGGTCTTTTGCGCATTTCGTGGCTGTAATAACTGTGTTTGCTGCTTTGACTGAGCTCCAAGTGCTGTTTACTGATTTGCGTCCGCACATTATGTTCTCGGAGGCAGGGTTCTTGTAATTGATGACTTTTAAGTACTTCTGTGGTTTCTGCTTAGCGCTTTGTAGAGCGATCTTCCGAAATAAAGGGGCAGTGCGTCCTGGTCAAATGTAGGACTTATCAAAATAATGAGTCCTTTTTATACTCTGGTAATGCTCCATCACACTACACAGTGTTTTGTTTTTACTAGAATTTTAACTTGGGTAGCAAGAAGCGACGATGTTCTCATTTTTATTGGAGAATCTTGGAACTCTGAAACAATCTATGTAGCATTAAGTAAGTTGGCGTGTGCGTCAGAATGAAAGCTGAGTTTTAGTATAGCCCATTCATCCAGACCTGTAATGGTAATTTTAATTTAAACAGCATATACCGCTCTTTGTTGGTGATGGGTATATGAAATAGTCAGTAACTACTGAGTTCTACCTGGTTACGGTCTCAATATTCATACAACTTTAAGTCCAGCAAACCTCTAATATCAAGAAGACATGCAAGCATTTTAGTCCAGTACTCCTAAACATGTTAAGTAGGCCGTAGTACCCCAAATTTAGCTTATAGAGTTTTATTAATATGTATTTATTACAGGAAAAGGAAGCATGTGAAGCATACGTACTGGGGATGCTTTCTCTAAATAAAATTGTGCTGTAGTTACTCTGGTAATTTCTTTTTCATTTCCACCACTGGATATATGTAGGTGGTTTATTTCCTAGTTATCTGTCAGTGGGATGTGCATTATTTCCTGGTTTTGCTTGCTTAAAAGGTGTACAACAACTGTATAGGCAGTGACGCGTTTGAATTTTGCAAAGAATGTTAGTGTTAGTGCATTTTATGTTTTGCACACTGTCTAATTTATGTAATGTTATGTAATTTGTTTTCTGACTGCGTGATCTACAGTTAACTTATAAAGAAGACCTCAATGATCTCTTCCTTTTTATTATTTTCTTCAATATTCGGTATAGATGAATCCATTAAATATTCAATTCTGCTGATTGCTTTTCATTCCACATTCTTTGAACAAAAAGCTGTCTCTCCTTTAATGAAAAAATCCAATATTCCAGAGGCAGTTTGGATTAAAAAATGATTTTGTGTCTTATGTGTCTGAATGATATTAATGGCATCTGCATTAATGTTTGTGAGAAACATTCACATTAATTTAAAATGTTTTTTTTAATTCTTAGATTTAAAATGTTTTTTATATGAACAGACACTAATCATAGACTTGAGACCTTGTGTCTGCTTTTGTGCAAATTCTGCATTCTCGGCTTTCTCTGTAGGTTACCTTCCCTGAATTTCTTTGCACATATTAATAGACCTAAATAGTTTTAAATTTTGGAATCTGGTGGTAATTTCTCTATGACCCTGAAAAAGAAGAAGCAGATACAAAATGGATGGGTGGGAGAATGGATGGTTATGTTCACACTCGCTAATTTAGAATCACTTGTTGTGAATCACTTAGGGATGACATTCACTGTGATTCAGGGGCAAATCACACTTTGATCTGCAAGTGTGCTGTTGTCAAAGCCATTTTATTACAGAAGCAAAGGGTTAAATAGAAACACTTTTTAAAGCGCAGTTCATACATAAACCACATGCTTACTTCAAACGCATTTGACATTGATCGGCCCCGTTCAGCATGTGTTCGGTGGTCCATTTACCTAAATGTTTTGTGGAAAAATGGCTTTGAGAATGTGGCTTGTACACTTACACCTAGCTCTGGTGTTCAGCTGATTGGGTTTTGTTCCATTCCAGGTACAAGTGTGGACAACAAGAATGAAGTTTTTATTGAAGATGACATTGTTTGGTCTAGTTCATGTCAAGAGGTAATACCCCATTTGTTAATGTTTTGGTCATGCCTTTCTGTTTTTTTTTTCAAGAAAAAGTGGCAGCAAGAGGTTTATAATCGAAGGCGAGCCAGTGTCTAGCATTGCATCTAAGTCTGCCTATGATGATGCATGAGATCACAACTGAGCAGTCAGTATAATCAGGCAGTTTATTAATGTGAACTTATCTGGCGGTATACAGGACAACTTACAAAGTTTATATCAACCCCGTTTCTTTCTGTAACAATACTGGTATCCATAAATACATCCAGCTTTTCAGGAGTAATTTGCATGAAGTTCCTTATCTAAGGGTGCGGTAGCAGGGATTCTTTTCAGGGATTTGACTGCATTAACTTCAAGTCCGGGGATCAGAACCCTAACCACTGCTCTACACTTTTAATTCGAAGGGCGGAAGTTTTTTTCATTTTTAAATGAAAGAAATGTGAGTTTTATTGTTTATCTTCTTATTAAAAGATGTTGCAAAGAAGACAATTCTGTAATTCCATGAATAGATTTTATGGCCAGTAGTGCCTTACTTGAGCTATAAAATCTATTCCAATTGAGAAGGTGTTTGTTCCTCTGAAACATTTTTTTTGCCCAAAATTAAAACCCATAATGTCGAGGTCAGGGCATAGAAAATACCAGTATTGTTTCATTCTGAATGCATTCTTGGGTTCAAGTATTTAATGGGAAACGTTTCATCTGTCAATGTGTCTGACATAGATTACAGGTACATTAGGTACCTTGTAGTTTATAAATGTCCCTCACAAGGGGTAATATACTGGATAAAACAGCTGTTTGTTATATCCACAGTGTTAATGACATGGGCTTTTATTCAAATATTTCAAGCTTTAAATATTAATTTAAAAACTAACATCTCTTGCTTTCTTCTGATGGCCTTGTAAGAGTTAACTGAACACCTGACACTTGCCTTCTTGAGTCTTCAAAGTTGGGCTGTCTTCCCTCTGCTTCGATTGTCAGTGCAAACAGGCATCAGCTGTGCTGCTTTAAGCAGTGTCTTCAGATTGAGTTTCTGTTTCCGTAGGAGACGACTAGGGGAATTTGTGGCTGGGAGTCCAGTCTGAGGCAGAAACCGCCAGTTCGCAAAATATTTCAGGTGGGAGCGAACTCCTTGGAGAATGTGAAGAAAGAGGACAACAGTGGGAGCACACAAACGAATTCAGGGGCGCCTGGGGTACGTACCTTTAATCTATGAAGTAGGATGCCTGGTATCCTGCAGCAGGCTCATTGAAACTCTCTGAGGCACTTTTCCACTAGTGCACCCTTCTTCAGTATTAGCGGACAAGCATGGTGTGTTCCCAGAGCAGCGGCAGGGTTGTGAAATGTGAGAGCTTGTGTGAGAGAAATTGGTGGAATGTGTGAAAATAATTCCCTGCTAAGGCTACAGTTTTGGCAATGGAATTTTTCGCTCAGTCAAGTCAAGGGAAGGAGCTAAATAATAAAATGTACAGAGCCTTTTAAATTGCACGTTACACCTTGTAATAGAGACAGTCCGTGTCTGTTTAAGTATAAAATAGTCCACTGCTTTGAAACTGCTGTATGTTACCTAGTCGTCGTGTTCACTTGCACATCTGTCCTCTTACAAACTGAAAGACTTTCACTGCTAATAGGTTCCTCAGGTGTTTTCACTTCACAAACACACCATTGTAGGTATGTAAATCACAAGTTTGCTCTTTTGATTTTTTTAGAAATGAGCAACTGAACCCTCCTAACACGCTGCAATGTAATGGTGGCTAGCTAGTGTGGATACTAATTAGCTCTGACCTCTTGTATCAAAATGCTGTACATCATTGCACTGTTAACGACTTCTCATTCCACCTTTTCTGAATTAAAGTACACGTTTATTGCAGAAAAATTTAGACTGCAACATTTCCACATAAATAATCCCTTATAAATAATCACAATAGCACTTTGACCTGTGTCAAACTTTTTCCCAGCATGACAGGAGCATTGATTTCTGAAACCTCTAAATGACTTCTTTAGCTTGTGCACTTCAAATGCTGCCAATAACAGGTGGTATAATATTTAAAAATTACAGGGTGTCCAAAAGCTAAGCTAAGCATTTTTTTATTTGTCAAATTTTTGGATACCCAACATGTAATAGGTGTAATAATATATCACCTCTTCCTGTCCTTTAGGAAACATCTTTTAATATAATTTTTAATACAAATTCAGGGAAGAAGAAACATGTATTTGATCAAGTCCAATTTTTGAAGGCAGATGTCTTATAGCAACGTTCCCTGATGTATGGCTGAGAGCCTGTGCATTCAATGATCAGATGCCTCTGGAGGGGCTAAAACATACAAAGAAATGAAAATGAAAAGGCTTGATTTGTGGGGGGAAAAATAGTATTGTTCCAAATTTTCTATGGCACAGTCTCTTAATTATATCAATCATGTTCAAGAAGCTAAAAATGGTCTCTTAGGGGAAACACGACTACAGAGTAGTAACAAAACTAGAATGTTATATCTTTGCATTATGAAGTTTTATGTCTTTAACTTCTCTGTGATAACGAAGTAGTTTTGGTTCCCTCTGAATAATCTTTCTGTTTTCCTGCTTTGCAGCTGTATTCTTTGACAATAGAAACACAGTTTCTTATCAAATGCGAGTTAAGTGGTAAAATGGAATTAAAAACAAGCGTTATGTCTTTTGCTTAAGGTTAAAAGGGGGAATCATACTTCAACGCCTAACAAGCCACCCAAGAAATCTTATCCATACCAGGTACTGCCTTTTTATTCAATTAAAGCTATATTTTCCCATTGGGGAGAGTTGTTTACAGCACACATTGTTGTTGTTTACAATATAACACATTGACAGACAAACTCTTACCACCAAAGAAGTTAATGAAGCAGTGTTTCAGTAAGATAGGGGGAGAAGATAGTTACAAGACATTGTTTGAAACAGATATTGCAGCAGGGATGAAGGATTTCCTGTGTCTATTAGTGTTACACCTGGGGACACAGGGGTGTCTCCCAGACGGGAGAAGTGTAAACTCACAGTGGAGGGGGTGAGAGACGCAGTCCACAATATAAATTGTATTCTTTGCCACCCTCTGTTTGTAGAGGATATTTAGTGATTTGATTTACCCCAATTAAATTGCTGCCTAATTTGACGAGTTTTTCAATTTTTCCATCCTATTACAATCAAAGGTACTGATGTTACCAAACCAGTGAGTGAGGCAGTATGTTAACAAGCTTTCAATAAATGACTTGTAGAAAAGTGTTACGATGGTTCTATCTTACTTTTGTTCTGCCCTGGAACAGACCACACATGATCTGTAGTTGTACAGTATCTGGTTTAACAAACAAAACTTCGGGAGCAGAAGAAAGCAGTCTGGTGATATGGATAAGTCTACGAGAGTCAGTAATGAAGCAGTTTCCATCCTTTGACAGGATGGGAAGGGCTTCTCGGTTGGAGAGCTGGTGTGGGGGAAGGTAAAGGGCTTCTCCTGGTGGCCTGGCCTGGTCGTGGGCTGGAAGAGCAAGCAGATCCCCACCGCCATGCGAAAAGTGGAGTGGTTTGGAGATGGCATGTTCTCTGAGGTGAGGGATGGGGAAGTGTTACATGGAGCTCCAGATGAGCCCTGGGACAAATCCGTTCTCTTGTGTGCAGCAAGACGTACCTTGCAGACTCCTGCATCACATGGACTGTAATCTCTGTATGCATAGAAAATAAGTCCTTTGTAAAAGCTTTTAACAGCTTTATTATTTAGAAACAAACATAATATTTTTACCTTTACAGTGTTGTAGACCTCTTCTCTGCAATACTGAAGCAGTTCTGATTCCCTCTGGATAATCCTGTAGATTTCCTGCTTTGTAATGCCGGCGTCACACTACACGACTTTTCCTAGGATTTTCCGTCGTAGCCTTCATTTGCATAATCGTAAGAAAATCACAGCGAGTTGTAGAGAGTCGCAGTGACACCCCCAGCGCCTCAGTCATAGCGCTCTTAACAGCCCCTACAACTCTCGGCAACTCCCTGCCATAAAATCAAACTGGTCTGGTTTTCTCGTAGCGAGTCGCTAGTCTGCGACAGGCAACAGCCAATGAGCGCTCAACCGGAAGTACCGTGACCAAACAAGTATGGTCTACTCCAAGTTTTCCGGCGTCTACTCCTCTTTTTTTTTTCTCGTTACAAAGGAGAGCACAGGCTACAGCGAAGGCGACAACTACCTGCTTGTTCTCCATGTTGTTCGTTTACTTTTCCTGCGGTGCTCCTTTTTTTCCGGTGTGCTCCACATTCATTGGCTGCCAAAACGAGGTGACCTCTCGGTACTTTCGCGGCCCAATACGAGATTTGGAACTGTGATGAAAAGTTGTGAGGGAATCGGTCAATTAGTCACCCCCTGCGATCCCTAGTCGTATGATTTCACACCCTCCTGGACAGAAAAGGCAGTGAGATTCAGCAACTGCAGTTGTTAAATTTGACATGCTCTCCAACTAGAAGTCGTGTCGAGTCATGTAGTGTGACGCTGGCTTAGCTGCAGTATCATTCCTTGACATTAGAAGTGCAGTTTCTTATCAGGTGTGAATGAAGTAGTGAATTGAAAGTAAAAATGATTGTTATTATATCTTATTTATTGTTTTATTAGTTTCGTCTTCTTTTAAGCTTAAATAGGAGAATTGTATTTCAACACCTAATAAAACACCCATGAAATCTTATCCATACCAGGATAGGATATTTTACTTTAGAGGAGTTTAAAGCCCTTTTAATCCGTATCTTCCTGTAATTGTCAGTCCTTCCTGAGATCCTGATGTTTTGCTTTTCAGATTTACACAGAGAGGCTACTTCCATTTTCTGCCTTCTCTAAGTGCTTCTGTAACAGCTCATTTGCCACTCTTCCAGCATACAAGGATGCCATTTTCCAGTCACTTGAGGTAAAATAAATAATAATAATAATAATAATAATAATAATTGCTTACACTTACACAGCACTTTTCTGGACACTCCACTCAAAGCAATTTAGAGGTAATGGGGATCCCCTCCACCACCACTAATGTGTAGGCCCGCCTGGATGATGCGACGGCAGCCATAGTGTGCCAAACACTCATCACACATCAGCTATAAGTGGAGAGGAGAACAGACTAATGAAGCCAATTCATAGATGGGGATTATTAGGAGGCCATGATTGGTAAGGGCCAATAGGAATTTTGGCCAGGACACCAGGGTTATACCCCTCCTCTTTTCGAGAAACGCCCTGGGAT